TACAGTATTATATTAGTTTCAGGTGTACGATATAGTGATTCAACACTTCATACATCACCCTATGCTCATCATGGTAGGTGCACTCCTTAATCCCCATCACCTGTTTTACCCATCCCTCATCCGCCTCCCCTCTGGTAACCATCAGATTGTTCTCTAATTTAAAGAGTTAGTTTCTTGGTTTGTCTCTTTTTTTTCTTTGCTCATTTTTGTTTGTTTCTTAATTCCACATGTACGTGAAATCATATGGCATTTGTCTTTCTCTGATGACTTATTTCTCTTAGCATTATACTCTCTAGCTCTATCCATGTCATTGTAAATGGCAAGATTTCATTCTTTTATGGCTGAATAATATTCCAACTCTTCTTTATCCATTCATCTATTGATGGATACTTGGCTGCTTCCATAATTCAGCAGTTGTAAATAATGCTGCTATAAATATAGGGGTGCATGTATTCCTTTGAATCAGTGTTTTTATATTTTTTGGGTTAATAAACATTAGTGTGATTACTGGATGTAGGGTAGTTCTCTTTTTAACTTTTTGACAAACCTCCATACTGTTTTCTAAAGTGGCTGCACCAGTTTGCATTCCCACCAACAGTGCATGAGGGTTCCTTCTTCTCTAAGTCTTCACCAACACATGTTGTTCTTGAGTTGTTGGTTTTAGCCATTCTGACAGGTGTGAGGTGGTATCTCATTGTAATTTTGATTTGCACTTCCCTGATGATGAATGATGATGATGAGCATCTTTTCATGTGTCTGTTGGCTATCTGGATGTCTTCTTTGGAGAAATGACTGTTCTTCTGCCCATTTTTTAATTGGATTGTTTGCTTTTTGGGTGTCGAGTTGTATCATTTCTTTATATACTGTGGATACTAACCTTTTATCACATATGTCATTTGCAAATGTCTTCTTCCATTCAGCCAAATGGTTTTCTAAAGTGGTTATACCAGTGCATACTCCCACCAGCAGCACTCTATGCATGTTCCAGTTGCTCAGCATCCTTACCAACACTTGTTATTGTCTTTTTAATTTTAGCCATTTTGGTGAGTGGGTAACACTGTCAGTGTTTTTAATTTGCATTTTCCTGACAACTGATGAGGTTGAGCACTTAATTTTCTGTATAGGCTTTTGAATACCTTCTAATGATGATCTGTTTGCCTGTCATAAAAAAATTGAGTCATTTGTTTTTCCTCTAAGTCCTCTGTTAGTTATCCTCTGTTAGCCCATTTTGTGACTTTCTTTTGAACTCTCTTCATTGTGCCATTTGATGAACGTTCTGATTTATCAATCTTTTCCTTTATGTTTAGTGCTTTTATGTGTCCTATTTAAGAAGTTTTCCCCCTACTCGAAGGTCATGAAGATGTTCTATATTGTCTTATAGAAGCTTTACTGTTTTATCTCTCACATTTTATATCTGCGGTTCAACTGGGATTTTTTTCATGTGAATGTGTCTTACTTGGTTTTAATTTAATCTTTTCTTTCCTTCGTTCTTCAAGATCTGGATCTTAAATCCAAGCACAAGCTGGGAAGCAGTTGGGTGTATTTGAATCCTGAATGTGCTTTATAAGTTAGTGCGGTGCTTGAATGGTCTTTGGAAATTGGAGCCTTCTCTTCCTACCACATCATGGCACTTGGTTTTTGTTTTATGTTCTTCGTCCCTTTATTACTGGAAAGTGTAGTCTGCTGGAATATTACCACTTCCTTACTTGCCTTTAATTCCTAAACCCACAGCAATCTGGATTTTGGCTTCACCACCTGCTTGAAACCTCTGGCAAAGGTTCCAGTAGCCTTCTTGCCAGTTGGGGTGAATTCTCCAATATCCTTTGACCATTTGCAGGTCTTGAACCTGTCTTTGATGTCTTTACATCTCTGTTCTAATTGTATGACTTTGGCAAGGCCTTAGTCTCCTTTTTGTCTCCTGTAAACTTACATAGTTTCATTTTTGAAATCCAGTTGGAAAAGCCTCACTAGATATGTTTGGACAAAGCCTGTAAAGCCTGAGGACATGAATCTCCAGTTTCAAAGTGGGCCTGACCACTTCTCTTTGTTTTGTTTTGGTCTGTTTTCATTTGGTATTTGAGACCAAATACAAATGATAACAGCCATAACTATGAATTAGATAATTTCTTAGAGTTTACATAGCAGCTTTACGTGGGTCACTCTGAGGTGGGAATTAGTACTTACTACAGTTATCGAAGTGATTGAAAATGCGAACAGCACACTATTTGTTCTTGTTGGGAAGCACCCTACTGGGTTAGGTTTTATAGTTTCCTTTTTCATGTAACCATCGTTTGGTGGAGAGCATCCAATCTGTGATCCTTTTGGATACTTTCATCTTTCTGCTTTTCTGCTGGAATGCTTCTTGGGTTGGAGCAGGGGAGGAGTGGATGGGACTGGAAATGGAGTTGGAATTGCATTCTTTGGAGAGATTGTCCTGAACTTGCCCCAGTAGCATTTAATGCATAGCTGGTAATTGTCAGGTTCACAAACTTCTGCCTCAAGAACCAGTACAAAATAGACGTTGATGGTTGAGTGCCTGAATGTGGTGAGCTCAGGTGTTTGCTAGGATCTGCTCTGAAATGATTCACTACAAGAAAAAGTTGTGGAGCAGGTGGGATTTGAAAATGTGTCCTTAGTTCTCAGGGACCCATTTTGGCTCCAGAAGAACTGATTTATTTTAACTAAATAGCTGATATCTTTTAATTTATGTTAATTTTTATTTTATTTTTTTGCCAGTAAGTTACTTGTGAGATTTTCCTTTGATTCTTTCATATCTTTCCAGAAACTTTTCTTAAAACAGCAAATCCTTTTTTCAAATGAAATGGGTATCCCAAGTCGATTTATGAAACAGACCAAAGCATTCTTTTATTTATATCAATTCATTTTAGGAATTTGAATTTTCAGCATTTACTTAGGAAAGTGAGAATAGTGAGGATGTTTTGATCAACACAAAAACTTGAAACAGGTGAAAAAGATTGCAGCCTTCTTTTAGCCTGACATTTCAATTTCTCCATTTGAAAAAATGTGGTTTTTTTTTTTTTTTAAAGTAGGCTCCATACCTAACATGGACCTTAAACTCACGACCCTGAGATCAAGAGTCACTCGCTGTACCAACTAAGCCAGCCAGGAGCCCCAAAATGTGTAGTTTTTTTTTTTTTTTAAAGATTTTATTTATTTATTTGACAGAGAGAGACATAGCGAGAGCAGGAACACAAAGCAGGGGGAGTGGGAGAGGGAGAAGCAGGCTTCCCGCAGAGCAGGGAGCCCGATGTGGGACTCGATCCCAGGATCCTGGGATCATGACCTGAGCCGAAGGCAGACGCTTAATGACTGAGCTACCCAGGCGCCGATGTAGTTTTTTTTTTTTTTTTTTTAAGATTTTATTTGTTTATTTGACAGAAACACAGCGAGAGAGGGAACACAAGCAGGGGGAGTGGGAGAGGGAGAAGTAGGCTTCCTGCTGAGCAGGGAGCCCGATGTGGGGCTTGAACCCAGGACCCTGGGATCATGACCTGAGCCGAAGGCAGACGCTTAACGACTGAGCCATCCAGGCGCCCAGAATGTGTAGTTTTTAATAAAACAGCTTAACTTGCAATCCAAGGATATTTTTCAGTTGAACTGATTCATTGGTTTGAAAAAAGGGTAAGATTTCAAGGGCTAATCTTGATCATAAATATAAAATTCTGACAACTCCCAAGTGCTAAAGCTCTTGTGCAGTGATGCGTCACTCAGCATGTCATTGTGAGTTGTCCTGGCACAGCCGTTCATATGTGACTGCAGCATCGGAGGGACAGCCGTGCCCGGCACTGTTGGAATGCGGCCCACGTGTGCTCTGCAGCGTGCTTGCTCTGCTAGTTGTCGATGGACTGGTGCAAGCCTGACTCAGCCTCTATGATAGGTACCAATCCTAAGTGCCGGTTTATCCACAGAGATGGCCCAGGTTCCTTAGTGTCTTCAAAAGTCAGTTACCAAGTTGAGGCCTCTGGTAATATTACAGTTTGATATGTACATTTGAGTGTGGACTTGTTTTAAAATGCAGTTTTTATAGTCTGCTCTCACTCTGGGGGCAATGGAGAGGATGTGGAGAAGGGGGGAGGGTGGGGGAGGCTGGAATTAAGAGATAATTAAGAAATCAGAACTGCTCTTGGCTCTTGATTATCTCTGGGTAAATAATGCCAGTGAGGATTCAGAAATGGTCTAGGAATGCTCACCTTTCTGCAGACGGGTGAGTGAAGGAGTGTTGACTCCAACTCACTGCTTCAAATGACGTCTCCTACATGAGTGGGAGAAGAGTATATGGGTTTGGGGCTCCACATGCAAGAAGGAGAGGATGGGCATTGGGGTCGAGAGCACCTCTCCTCTCATTCTTCACCTGAGCAGCTCTGCTGAGAATCTGGCTGTCTGTGGGTCCATGGTTGGGATGTGCGCATTTTGAGTTCCCGCTCAGCTTGGCTCTTAGCTGCCTTAACTTTAGTCTCTGGTGGCTGCTCATTCGAGATTGAGAGTTGTCAGAACATGTGACTCCGGAAGTGCCTTCAGAACCCCCACGGATCCATGCAGCAGTTTAACTGCAGTTCTTCTGAATCCCAATATGGCTAATTATTTAGACTTGGGGCAAATGTATTATCGACAGGAAGTCTCTAGGGAGCCCTAAACTTCTCTCCCAGTCTCTTCACTCTGCCTGTTCAGTCAGGGCCAGGGGCTGATATTTTGCTTTTAATATATTTCCGGAATTATATTTTGAGTTATTTGTTCCCTTTTCCTTAGCATAAATAATTGAGAATCTGTTGTACAGTAGCATGAATTTATAGAGTATACTCAAAATTTGGGTTTTGAGCCAGCTGGGAAATTCCCTTCAGTTTTTCTGAATCCCATGCATTTGAAGAATGTTGAACCAAGATGTTTGAGGAAGTAAATTACGAATGTGACCTGGAGGGAAGTGAGGAAAGTAGGAGACACAGTTACTGATTTTTTTCTTTTCTTTCAAATTCCTTTGTTAGGCATCTGAAGAAGCCTCCCTCAGGGCATTGGAAAGTCTCATGACAGAATTTTTCCACGATTGTACAACCAATGAAAGAAAACGTGAGATAGGTAAGTCAAGTGTTGAGTCGTCAAGAGTCACTTAAGATGAAAAGGCCCTAGTGAGGAGGAAGGAGTTTGTTGCCTGCGCTAGTCAAGCCTGCTTGTTTCATCTGGAATTCTTGCTCTTTTTGCTCTCACTTTGCTGGTTGGTGCTGGCTGCAAATCTAGCTGTGCCAGGACTGTAGACCATGGGGCCCACTATCATCCAGAGTGATGGGTTTTGTTCCCTTTGGCCGAGTGTGAAAAACCCCTTCCGCTGCTTTGGTTCTTGAATTCCAGCAATGTTAAACTTAGGTAAAAGAGGCCTGCGACTATTAACTTAAACAAAACCTCATGAAAGTGTCAAAATGACATGGTTTTGGTGTGTGGAAGTCTCATCCAAACCTTATCTAGTGCCCACAGGTCTTTAACTGGTATTCCCTTTGGGGGCTTCTTGCTTCTTTTCCCTTATCTCTACTATTGTCTTTCCCATTCTGCAAGTTTTGATGAATAAAGGCTTCAAACAACACAGAGATGTAGATATAATTACCTTGGGTCTTCTGGGAACCTCACCTCTTTCTAGAACTTCCTTTTGAATTTCATACTCATTTACATGAACAATATTCATTAAAGCATACTGTAAACTAGAATGTGTATTCAAGTGTCAAATCTCTGCCTCCGAGACAGGAGACATGTTGCCCTGTGTTCCTGGAGTATATCCTTTTTTCCCTCCGAGTCCTCACTTAATCCCTGAACTTCCAAACAAAAATGTTTTCTTCTCTATCTCAACCTAAAGGCTTTTCCCCTTGGATGTCTGCTCTGTACTGACCTCATGTTCCTTGCTTTCACCTCTGGAGAGGGCTTTTTCAGTCTCTAGGACTCGGAAGGCCCATTTCTCTGCCCCACTTGACTTCTCTAAGTCATACTGGCCAGTTGAGTGTTGTGGCTGATTCCTGCCTTTAGTCCAGAGCTTGACTGGAGTCTGGGTTTCCAGGTGGCCAGTAGACCTTTGGCTGTAGCCCATTTTCTCTTGCATTCTTTGAACATCACATCAGCTCCTGGTAGTTGTGAATTTCTTAGCTTTTTTTTTTTTTTTTTTTTTACTTTGAAACTTGGTGGTTTTAGGCCTGCCCTGTGCATGTTATGCCTGTCTTTTCTTAGGGAGTATAAGTAGAGAATTAAAATATTTGTAAATAGGGGAGTGCTGACGGAAGCTGAACCCAATAGATAATCAGGCATTTGGCTTAGAAGATCCACTCTGCTTGCTTCCCTAGATTCTCTTATTACTCAGTTGGGCTGACCCTTCTGCCTCCAGAGTGATCTTCTCATTAGTTTTATGCTACCAGAGTACCTTATACTTAAGTAAAAATACCCCTGGTGATGTTTACCAAAGGAGGTGAAGGATCTGTCCATCAGTCTGCTATAGCCCAACACTAATAGCTTTGAAGTCCTATTTTTAGCTTATTAATTGAAATGCTTTTGGTTTTTCTCTTAATTTTTTGGTTTACAAAGCAAATATTGCTCACTTTCAGTGTTCATGAATTAAAAGTGGAACCTCTGAACTAAAATTGTATTCTAATCTGATTTAAAATAGCGTTAAATAGGGGCGCCTGGGTGGCTCAGTTGGTTAGGCGACTGCCTTTGGCTCCGGTCATGATCTCAGGGTCCTGGGATTGAGCCCCGAATTGAGCTCCCTGCTCTGCAGGGAGCCTGCTTCTCCCTCTCCCACTCCCCCTGCTTGTGTTCCCTCTCTTGCTGTCTCTCTCTCTTTCTCTGTTAAATAAATAAATAAATAAAATCTTAAAAAATAAAATAGCGTTAAATAACCAGATACTACAAATGTCTAATTTAAATGCAAGCTAAGGGGGATCCCTGGGGGCTTGGTTCTGTATGGTGGGTGTGCCTTAGTTCAGTTCTCTTTGTACCTAGTCTTTGGAGCTTTGTCTGAATGTGTGGGCTAGAACCACTTTCTTCTTTTTGATATCTTAGGAGAAACTGAAGGCTTTCCTAGTGAGGTGGGAGAAAGGAAGCAGGCCTTTTATTACAGGGGCTCCACCTGCCCTCCACCAAAGGCGTGTTATTAGTGCTGTTCGCAGGGAACCTCGAGGGACAATCTGTTCATTTTCACAGGGGAGGAAGCCGAAGCCTCAAAGAGGAGCAGTGATCACCTGGAATGAGACTCTCTGAATGAGCGGCAGAGTCTCTAGCCCAGAGTTCCTCATTTCCGGCCAGAGCTCATTCTGTCTGTTTTGACTCCCACTCTGGGATTCTTACAGACTTTCACTTAGTCGAAAGACTAGGCATCAGTTTCCTTGTGTGGGATTTTCAGTGAGGCTGTGGAGTACTAGCAGAACAGTGATTTTAGGATTAGAATGGGCTGCTGTGCTTCCTGCTTTTCCAGGTGCATCCTAGAATCTGTTGGGGTGTTGACGTTTATATATCTTTTTAGTCTTTTAAAATTTTTTATTTTTAAATTATTTTTTTACCCTTTTAAATTTATGTTTATTTTGATTTTTAAAATTTTTACCGCTTTTGTGTTGTATTTCATGACCAGAACAGCAGGTCGAGGGGATCAAGGGGCAGCGTGTCCAGAAACGTGGTGACAGACTCTTAGTGCTTGCTGTCTTGGGGTTCTGGCTGATGCTACCAGCAGTCTAAGGAGGAGGAAAATCATTTCTAACTGATTTGATATGGACTGGGCTGCTCCCGGCAACTTCCACGATTGCTGCTCTTATTTACAGACTGTTTTTGGTGTGGTATTTTAAAATAAAACCAAATGAAAACCAAATAAAGAGAATTATCCATCTTTAATTCTCTTGCATTTTTTCCTGCCCTGCATTAATTATATAATTATTAATTAATTTTTTCTTGTCCTGCTTCTCTAGCCATCATTTTGTGTGTGTGTGAACAGTGTGAGTCTTAAGGAAATATATATAGTCAGTACCCCAGAGGAGACAGGTTAACAATTAGCCATAGTTTGTAAGGTGAAATGATCTTCTTTTTTGAAATGATATTTTATAATTGTCCATACTTAGGTTAAGTAAGAACTTTTTTTTTTTTTGAGGGGAGTAGGGGCAGAGGGAGAGGGAGAGACAGAATCTTAAGCAGGCTCCACGCCCAGCACGGAGCCTGCTATGGGGCTCGATCTCACAACCCTGAGATCATGACCTGAGCTGAAATCAAGAGCTGTATGCTTAACCGCCTGAGCCACCCAGGTGCCCCAGGTTAAGTAAGAACTTCAACAGTGAAAGTTTCTCTGCCTAAACGAGTGCACATAGGCTATTGGATTGTAGATGGCTGAACACACCATCCATGCTCATGGTCATATCTTTCTATCTCGAAGACATGGCCGGATTTTTCTAGTTGGTTTTGGCATCAATCATATGATATGGAGAGATGTGTGTTTAAAAAACTAATGTGACAGCCTAGCCTTGTGTTGATTTCATGTCTTTTCATAGCCTTGTTTTGTTGCTGTTTAACTTTTCCAGAGGAGCTTCTTGATAACTTTGCCCAGCAAATAGGAGCCTGGAGACTCTGCCTATACTTCCTCTCCAGCACTGGGAATGACTATGTCATGATGTATAGTTTAACGGTGTTTGAGGTGAGTTGTCAGATGACTCTCTACTGTTTGGAAAAGTATTTTGTGGACACAGTGCCGGGTCGTTGGCACTGGACTTGAGCTTCAGTGTGCAGACAGCTGGGAAAGAGTGGTAGCTCAGCTCGGGCTACCTCCCACATGCTGCCTCTGTCGGGATGTCAGCTGTTCTGGGGCACCTTTCCATCTTTGACCCCAGAAAGGTGAGATGGGTCTGGGTCGGTAGGTAGGTTGTTTGTGGTAACATGTAACTTTTCCTTCCATGTTATCATTCAAAAGAGAAAGATAATGAAGGAAAAACAGTTTGGGAGGAGAGATGGTACCCATAATACTATTATCCCAACCACAAACATACTCATTTATTTCAACTGTCTTCCAATTTTTGTATTTCTATGCACATCTTTTTTTTAACTTAATTATAATCCTATTGCTCATGCCACTAAGTATTTATACCATTATTCACCAAGCCATTCTCCTATTTTTGAACATTAAAGTTGTTTTTGCCATTTTTTGGTGGCCATCAGAGGGAGTGGTGTAATAGAAAGTTTTACACATGGAGCTTTTTGTTTCTGTGAAATTAGTTAGCAGATCTTTCCAGGAGTGAGAATGTTGTATAATAGGGTTTAAATATTCCTGGTACTCTTATTGCCAAATTGCTCTAAGCCTTTTTTTAAAAGCAGGGTCTTTTGTTTGAGATGAGGTAGCTAACCATTGGATGAAAACCAGTTATTTTTGTGTATAGAATGGTTAACTTAAAAGATGTATACTTGTGTTTCAGAATCTGATCAATAAAATGTGGCTTGGGGTCCCATCTCAAGATAAGATGGAAATCCGTAGCTGTCTGCCCAAACTCCTTTTGGCTCACCACAAAACCTTACCTTACTTTATCCGGAACAAGCTCTGCAAAGTTATTGTTGATATTGGCCGTCAAGATTGGCCCATGTTCTACCATGACTTTTTTACGAACATTTTACAGGTAAGGATTTACCTAAGAAACCTCATCTCATAAGTTGTTTGTAGAAGTGATTATTTCCTTGTCTTGAAGAGGAGTTTTAAGATTAGCATTTTGGAACTGTAGTAGCAAGTTCATTATAGGATAAATGATTTCACTCGCTTAACTTTGTATTCTTGAGACATGTTGTACCTTTGTGCAGTGGCAAAAGAGGGGGGAATACCCAGTCGCATTGTTAACCTATTGTGAAATTTTGTTCAGCAAAGATTTGAAAACCTGTTAGGTACTGCGTCAGGAGTAGGGGTACAAGGGTGAGGCCTTCAGTAGTTATAATTTGATGGGGGGGCTTGCTGTGTAAACAGTAATTATCCAGCACTGTGGTAATTACTGTGTGGAAGTGCGTGTGTTCTGTGGTGGCATAGCATTTAGCCTCCAGGAACTGAGGTATTTTCAGCGTTGTTGGGTGCTGGAGTAAGTGGCCAGGTTGATGGGCCGGGGCCAGGCCAGGAAGGGCCTTGCTCTTGCAGGGGGCTTCAATTTGTAATTCGTAGTCCTTCCTTGGGAGCTAATGACAAGTGTGTAGAGGGGAGAACACATGACCACATTTTTGTGTTGGAAAGACAGTTCTGGAACAGTAGGGTCTAGATTGCAGAGGGGCAAGGCTGGAACCCTGAGTGTGAGCGAGACAGGGAGGACCTGGCCCTGAAGCCTTTCTGGTGGGTGGAGGGTAGGGCACTTAGGAGACCCAATCAAGAGGCTTTGATCATTGACGGGGTGGTAGGGGTGAGGGACGGGATGTTTCTGTTTCAGGTAGCCGATTTTCTAGGCCAGGGGTAAAGGAAGAGGAAATGGATTTGGGTAGAAGATGGGGAATTCAGTTTGGCAGAAAGCACATTCAAGATTTGTGTGTTCTGTGTATATCTAGTGAGAAGTTGACAGCTGTGGATCTGGGGCTCAGGAAAGAGATCTGGCCACTGGTCAGGATTTCGAACTCATCAAGAGTAAAGGTGGGACCTAAAAGCCAGGCAGGAGATGCTGCTGTTCATTTGAATCCTGTGATGAAGTTGGAAACATTTTCATATTACTGAGATAGTTGTGGATGTACAGGAAATGGGTATTATGTACAGTTTATAGGAATAAAATTCTCTGAAAATCAGTGTCTCAGTGACTAAGTTCAGGATTTTCTGGAACAATACCGTTTTCTAACATTCTGTCTGCTCTCTCTACAAAGCATTTGAATGATGAGGCAGCTAAGAAAAAATATAGCATCCTTATTGCTTCTCTCAAATTGCCTCAAAGTGGCACAAAAATTCTTCATTCAATTTTTTTTTCTCTGTAGTGATCCATTTATCTAGAGATTTATTTGATTGATACTGCAAAGGAGATTCATTCATTTATTCAGTAAGGTATTTGTTGAATGCCAGCCGTGTGCTGACTAAACATCTGGTGGGGATAAAGTAATGAAACAAAAACTGTCCCTGCCTTCGTGGAGCTTATAATCTCAAGGGCAGACATCCATTAACAATAAATAAATAAGCTTACAAGTAGTGATAAGTACGACGAAGAAATTTAAATCCAGGGTAAGGAGAAAGAGAGAATGCCAGGGGGTGTTATGTAGATGGGATGATGATAGAAGGCTTTTTTGAGGAACAGCCATTTGAGTAGAAACCTAGATGGAAGTGATGGAGTGAGCTATGTGGGTATCTAGGGGAACAGCATTTGAGGCAGAGGGAATAGCAGGTGCAAAGACCCCGAGGAATGGCAAGGAGGCTAGTGAACCTAGAGTGGTAGGACATGAGCTGAGAGGTTTTGCTGGCTCTCTCTGATACGCTTGCCTTCACTCCAAGATGAGGACAGTTGTGGTAACTCTCCATCGCCCCCCTAGAGGGAGAATGCATTCTTAGGTGGGTTAGTGCGGGGCATGTCCTGTGAGAAGAAGCAGTGGAACGTGAGCCGGAGATGCATGGTGCTCGCCGCAGCAGGTGAGGAGGAGCCATGTTTCCACCCAGCTGGGATCACTTCCTGTGATGGAGAGCAGACATTTCCTGTCTACCCTTGAAATGTAATGTAATTACTGGTAACAAATGACAATTTGGAAGAGCATTTTTAGGTGAAGTGCTCATGAAGTTTAAAAAGGCTAGTTTTCTTTCTCTGTTGACCACTTCCCTCTTCCCACCCTTCAGAAATGACTCTGCTTACCTCATGCAACCTTTGTGACTTTGAAACACCCCGTAGTGAAAAGAGCATGGAGAGAGCATGTGGGTTTGGGGTCTTTGTCCATTTTTGTCACAGATCGTCTTTAATTTTAGCAACTCCTGACCCTTTGGGAGCCTCCATTTCCTTCTTTGTGAAACAAGAGGATTGGACAAAGTGATCTCTAAAATCCTTTCAGTCGTAATCTCTGCTTCTCATTTATCCATGAGAACCAGTCAGTGGCATGAAAGCCATGTCTAGAATAATGGTGCTTAGTTGCTGACTTTTTTTTTTTTTTTAAGATTTTATTTATTTGAGAGAGAGAGAAGAGAGCAGGAGCAGGGGGAAGGGGCAGAGGGGCAAGCAGACTCCCCACTGAGCAAGGAGCCTGACGCGAAGCTTGATCCCAGGCCCCTGAGATCATGACCTGAGCCGAAGGCAGACGCTTAACTAACTGCACCACCCAGGTGCCTCCAGTTGATGACATTTTTATTTATTTATTTTTTATTTTTTTATTTTATTTTTTTTTTTTAAAGATTTTATTTATTTGCGAGAGCGAGAATGAGAGAGAGAGAGAGCACATGAGAGGGGGGAGGGTCAGAGGGAGAAGCAGACTCCCCGCTGAGCAGGGAGCCCGATGTGGGACTCGATCCTGGGACTCCAGGATCATGACCTGAGCCGAAGGCAGTTGCTTAACCAACTGAGCCACCCAGGCGCCCGATGACATTTTTAATAATGATGATGAAGTAAACTTTTCTTTAGGTAGTGGCAAACAAGAGTAAACTAGTTCTGGAGTCAGGCTCACCATCCTTCATCCTTTTTTTTTTTTTTTAAAGTAGGCTCCATGCCCACCGTGGAGCTCAGTGTGGGGCTTGAACTCACGGCCCTGAGATCAAGACCTGAGCTGAGAGCAAGAGTCAGTCCCTCAACCAACTGAGCCACCCAGGTGCCTCCATACTATGATCCTTTGAATAAACTTATCTAAAAGGGTTTTTTCTGGCTCAGTTCCCATCATTGCCTGCTTGCTGTCTGGGTGCATAGTTGTTTGCTTTTGTTTTTAATTCTGTGACGGTTGGCTGGGCTTCTATGCAATTTATGCCATCATTGTGGTGACCACATAGCAGGCCGAGGGGAGTTGATTTGGGGCCCCAGAAGGATACTTGCAGTTCTTTGTGTTGATTATATCCTTTGTAGCCACCGGAGAAGGAAGTAGTTGAAGTCGAAACTGACCTCTGCTCCTTCTTGCCCCCAAACACAAGGCCAAACATCACACCTTTTAAAGTCTGTTCTTCAGATTCCTGAAATCTGCTGAGCTGGACCTGTGGTCACATTGTGCCTGGGACCAGATAATTAAGGGGCAAGCAGCATGGAAAGAATTGCCATTTCTTTTCTGATACGGTGGTGTAATAAAAATTATTGAACTTTTTCAGAAGCTCACACTAAGAACCTGAACTTCAACCTAAAAGTGCTTATTCACTGTTAAAGTAAATTGCCAAGAATTACCTATGTTACGAGCATAAATTATAAATGTGAAGATGGTAAAGGGAAACACTATTTTGCTAACAAGCCTTCTGGACACAAAGCTAGTGAGAAAAAAAATATTTGATCTGGCTGTTCTTTCAGGTAAAGAATAACTTTAATTTTCAGTTGGCTTTTGCCTGGTCGTCTCCCCTTCTTCCAAATGAGAGAAAGGAGGGCTTTTGGCTGCATTTTCCATAGTGTAGGAATTTTTTATTTCTGGGAGCACAGAGCATTTCATGTCTACAGGAAAATGTATTGCCAAATGGAATATTTGGTAATACGAGGCATTCCCAGCTAAGAGAGTAAGAATGAGGGCTTTGGGGGGAAAATAGAGACAAAAGAGGTAGAGGAGAAAAACAGAAGTATAAGGGGGGTAGTGGGGGAGGAAAGTAATGGAACTCTTTATTATTTTTATTTTTTTCAATTTTTAATTTAAATTCTAGTTAGTGAACATACCGTGCAGTATTGGTTTCAGGGGTAGAATTCAGTGGTTTATCACTTACATACAACACCCAGTGCTCATCCCAACAAGCGTCCTCCTCCTTAACGCCCATCACCCTAAAGTATGGATTGATAACCCACAGGCCTCTGGATGGACGGAGATGCTTATGAAGGGTCAGTTCTTTATTCTGTAAAGAAAAGGTGCTGCAGGGATTTCTTGTTCCTCCCCTGTTGCATTTTCTCAAGTTGTTAGAAGTAGCCCAGACTTGCACAGAATGAAGAGAAAGCTTGTGGAGGTTATATTTGAAGTTGTAGCCTTCAAGAGAATTGATGTAATAGCACTTTCAACACGCCGCTCATGGCCACTGTTTTTATATCATGCTGCTCCTGAGGGCAGTTGAGTTTATCCTGAGTTCACACTGTTGAAGGCATTTCCCGCTCTTTGGGATGAGCTTTCCCTTGGTCTGCAGTGGGGAGAGCTGTTTTCAAGGGAAAGGCAAGTGCCCTGCACTGCTTGAAGTGGAGAAGAGGCGTTCTGCCCGGCTGCCATTCCCGGTGCCCTCCTCCTCCCTCATTTCGTAGATTGAATAAACAGACAACCTATTATTATGATTAAAGAAGATGGTCAAGTGTTCCTTCAATTGTGTGTCCTTTAATAGATTGTAGCCTATAAGTCAACAGAATTTTAGTGGCAACTTGCTTTTACCAGTTTCTGGAAACTAAAAAATGAATCGTAAGTAATGTTTTGAATTTTGTGAAATTGATTAGAAAGAGCTAAGTGGTGTTATGCTCTTGAAGGTGTACTTCTTCTGTCTGTTGCTTAAGGCAACTTACAACATAGTGGATATTGCCGGTGATAGAGTAACTAAAATTTGCTACGTAGGTATTTACAAAATCATAATCGTAGTCGATGATGAAGTCATGGGCGGATGGCGTGTATGCATGTTTCTGCTCTGCCACATGTTTAGTCTTGAACTTTCATGAAGCATGCAAAGCTTAGAAATGTAAAATTGATTTAACACCCAAACGTTGGAAAGAGATCACAAACCGGTTCACATATATCTCTGTCGCTAATACTTGAATCTGGGCAAAGTGACCAAAGCTCTGTTGGGATTGTGGATGTGTAAAAAAAATTGTCATGTTAGATGTAAAAGAGCATTGTGTTCATGGTTAGAATCTTAGTCCTTAGACTAAGATGAGAATACACTTTGGCTCCAAAAGGGACCTAACTAGACTGTAGAGCCCTGAGCGATGCGGCCTCTGCCTGTGAGATTCAGCCATGGAAGGACTTCGAGGTTTAATGTTCCCCCATCCTCCTTGTACCTTCGTCAGCTGGACAGCCTGCTCAGAACTTCCTTTTCCCTGCAGTTGATCCAGTCCCCCGTGACAACCCCCCTTGGGCTGATCATGTTGAAGACGACTTCAGAAGAGCTGGCTTGTCCCCGCGAGGACCTCAGCGTGGCTCGGAAGGAGGAGCTGCGGAAGCTGCTGCTGGACCAGGTGCAGGCCGTGCTCGGGCTGCTGACAGGTGAGCAGTATGGCGCTGGCGCTCTGCGGTCTTGAGCAGTTGTTCTAGTTGTGACTGTGACGGAGCTGAAAAACAGAATGTGGCATGTGCTGTCTGCCGCGGGCGCTGTGTCCGGCATGCGGTAGGACCTCCGAATGTACTTGTGACCTACTTCCTTTACTGTCTTTATGGATTGGTCGGCCTGGGAACTGTGATTAATGAGGCTGCAGGGATGTGATTGAAATGCCAAGCACAGCATTCTCAGGAAGGTGGGTGGCAAGCACCTTATTGAAGAGGATTTGAACTTAAGATCAGGAGAAGTTGGAGGAGAGGAAGATGGGAAAGTTGCAAATTTTGTGCAGAGAAGGAAGACCAGGTGTAGAATCAGCACCCTGTGTGCTAGGTTTTAGTTGTAAGTAGCATTTTCTTCGTCATTTTGTTTGTCAGAGCCTTGTGACGGCGTGTGGGGAGTAAGAATAAACAGAAAGCAAAAGCAAACCGCAGAATGAAACAGGAAGGTGGGACGAGGGTGGAGCGTGTTGGCCCAGTAGGGCCAGGCTGCTCATGAAGAGGCACAGGTGCAGCCCTGGTCCCAGGACCCTTGAGGCACGGGTTGGGGGGGAGGGTGGGGGTGGGGGCCCAGGCTTGCTGCTGGAAGGGTTGTTGTAGTGAAAAAAGCCTTTTTAAAAAAATCTCCAGCTCCTCTGCCTGGCTTTCCTCTTGGATGTCTAGGAACTTTTTTCTTTTGTAGGGGTTACAGAAGTGCTTGACATGCAGTGGGCACTTAAAATCGGTGAAGAATGCTTGATCAGAAGTAAATTTGTCATTTGCCCCCTGTCCTTCCCTGCATCCCTAGGGGAAACCCACACCTCAGAGCATTTCATTCAGAGCACATTTATTGATGCCCCCAACTAGAGGTTACATTTCTGCAGTTAAGGACCATGTCTGATATCTCTCTATCCTACTGTGCAGACATTAAAATTTTTAAAATTGGGATTAGTTCACATAGCATAAAATCCACCTTTACAATGTTACAACTCTGTGGTTTTTAATATATTCACAGAGTTGCACAGCGATCATACCATCTAATTCCAGAACATTTTCCTTACCCCCTCCCGCCAAGCCCTTGGAAACCACTAATCTGGCTGTCTCTGGATTTTCCTATTTGGCCTTTTCATAAAAAAGAAATCATACAGTATGTGGCGTTTTGTGTCTGGCTTCTTTTTCATAGTGTGATACTTCAAGTTTCATCTGTAATATTAAATATTTTGAAAACAGTATTTTCAAAAGCTTTTACAATCCATCATCTTATGTGGTAGGTTCTGTAAGGAGATACAGAAAGGAATAAAACGCAGTCTCTGCCTCTAGTATGGGGTACTCTAGTAGGAGAGAAAGACAGCTAAAACCAGTGTGTTAAGAATTATAGTAGAGGTGTGTTTTATGTGCAGGCAGAACTGAGCAGACAAAACTTTCTGGGAAAGATGACAGCTGGGTGTAACTCTGAGGGACTGATAGCAGCCATCAGTCTGGGCGGGGGGGGGGTGCGGGGGAAGGTCAAGTTTGGAGGGAGGGAGGAGAGCAGGTCAGAGGTTGGTGTGGACGGAGTAGCACACAGTTCAGCGTGTGCAGCCTTGTGTGGGGGTGGGGCAAGGCCAGATGGGCCAGCAGAGGCCTGAGGCAGAGATTGTGTGGGATGCTGCTGTTGGCTGGGTGAGAAGGTAAGGAGTAGCAGCAGGTTTGTGGGGGATAATAAAGGGAGTTTGGAACATCCGAGTGGTGTTGTCCAGGAATGTCCACTTGGACATACGGTGGAGAGAGGGATGTTTGATCAGAGATATGAGATCATTTTTCTCAATCTTGATTTTCATAGGTTAGACTTCATTTCTCTCTTAAACTCAGTTTCTCCTTTCTTGATAGGTATCTTGGAGACTGTCTGGGACAAACACAGTGTCACTGCTGCCACCCCACCACCATCCCCGACCCCAGGAGAAAGTGGTATGGTCTGCCCACCACATATGCTCTTCCTCTTTTTAAATGCAGTTTGGGGTCTCGATGGGGTAGCGATTGCTTACCTATGCCACATACAGATGCTGATTCTTCCTTGATCTATTTTTGGCCTTTCTGCCCATGTTTTCTAAGGAGCTAGCTCTGCTTAGTTCTTCGTAAGTACTTGTACTTTCTTTCTTTTTTTTTTTTTTAAAGATTTTTTTTTTTATTTATTTATTTGAGAGAGAATGAGAGATAGAGAGCACAAGAGGGAAGAGGGTCAGAGGGAGAAGCAGACTCCCCACTGAGCAGGGAGCCCGATGTGGGACTCGATCCCAGGACTCCAGGATCATGACCTGAGCTGAAGGCAGTCGCTTAACCAACTGAGCCACCCAGGCACCCCAGTACTTGTACTTTCTAATATATTTTGAACGACTTATGTTGTTTCTTCTTTACCTGTCAGAAAGATGACATCCTTCCTTTGATCTTCTGTCATCCACCTCTATCCCCTTCAGTTTACAGCTCTTGGTTGTCCCTTCTGGTTTGTTTTTTGCTTTTTCTCAGATTTCATGGTGTCTTGCTCATGCTGGGGTTAGGATGTGCCCGTGGGCTTGATAGGTCTGCTGTGCAGTTACGCAGGGGTCAAGGTCACAAGAGCTGGTTGGCTTCCTGAAGGAGGAGGGGGAGGAAGAGGATGTGGAGGACTTTGTTCCCTACTTGGGGCTTAGGGAGGGTGAGGTCAGTGTGCAGTAATCAGCATTGACTTTACATCAGTTCAGAATAATTTGATCAAGCGTGGGCATATTTGCAGTGTCAGTAACTCGTTTACTGGTGGCTAATTATCCACAGTTATATTAGTATCTTTTTCAAAAGTCAAAGTGCAGTTTGCTTAAAAATGGCTACTTTCAATGGTAGATAGAAAGAGGAAATTGTGTCTGAGTAGAAACTTTTAGTTTCTGAATGCTTGTGTTTTACATTGAATGATTACAGATGCTTTTCAAGTAGAGTACGTCCTGTGAATTGCACACATTTTTTCCTCTACCATAAAGGTTGGTATGGCTAATGAAAGATTTCCCCATCTTTCTCCTTTACCCCAGGAAACAGGCTGTTGAAATCAGACCCCTCCAAGCCTGAGCTGTTTCATGTAGCCTGTTGTTGTTAATAAGTGGACGTTAAAATTCTTGCAGAGCTGCTGTGGAGCTGAAAATATAGCGTGATGTTTTGAGGACAGCTCATAGTAAACTAATTTATTCCAGATTCCATTTATCATACTGGGATAAAAACTGTTAGTCATTTGTCACACTTGTTAGATTAAACACTATTATAGAGTTTGAGAGTGTATTAAAAGCTGACAGGGATTTGAACTTTATTTGTACTTGGTAGCTTTCATTTTCAGTGTGGATATTTGAGATGACTTAGCAGATTTATATTTTGCAATATTTGGTGATTAAAGAAAAAAATTGCAAATGAGGCAGAGCTTTGATTTTTATGAGTGTATGCTTTGGAATCTCTTGCAGTTGGGCTGATCTTAAAATGTGTCATTTCATTTAAATAATAGTTTGCAAAGATTAGTTCTGTTGGATCGGATTTGGTTTTAGGTAGGTGAATACTGGCTTAGCATTCAGTTTGGAGTTAGCAGTTTGCTCTAGTAAAACTTGTTTTTCAGAGATCATTTTCCAGTGCCAAAAGCTGTGTGTTTTAGTTGGCTTTGTTCAGCTGCATGTTCTGAGCAAACTCCATTTCTGCTTTGATAAACCTGTTTTCCTGGAGGCCAGGTTGGGGAATATCAGATAATACAAATCAAAAATATATGCTTACCTCTCTTCTGCGTTGCCTAGGTTTTGTTGATGAGGTAAGGTGAAACACAGTATGAACTAACTTGATATTTCCATATAAACAAAACCTAAAAATGTGGTGCGTACTTCTTGAAAATTGCCTCTTAGGCACTATTAAAACATTTTTGAAGTCTTGAATTGTAGTATTTGAGAAAAGGCAAAAGAAATGGAGACTGCTGGGGGCCTGGGAAGTGAAGTAGGCTTTTAAGCTGACGTACTTCTCCTGAAAAAACAATAGGCTTACACGTTCATGTGATACGCCTTTTTTCTTTTTATGACGGTTGCAAGTGAAGCTGTCAGATCTTGTTCCATTATTTGGACAGTGCTGATGATTTAATTAACATTTGTTTTGATGGTTTTGCTCAACTGCCTCTGTGCGTTGAAGACACGAAGTGAAGCAGTAAAACTTCTAAGAAGATTGTTTAGCTTTAGTGACCATAAGCTCACTATTGTGGAGGAAAATCATTCTGAGAAACCTTAGTGAGTAAAGGAAACCCAGTGAGTAAACCAGATACTTCGTCCCGTCACCCCCCGCCCCCCCCCGCCCCGCCAACCCGGGTTGGCACTCCCTGCCTGCCTCTCTCTGCCCTACCCGAGTCCCCATGCAGCTCTCTGGCAGCCCCTTGGCTTTTGGCATTTTTTTCCTCATACGCTTTCTGGTAACATTGATTTCGGTCTGATCACTTTAAAAGAAAAAAGCCCAGGAACTAGTCCCTGCAACGGCTACTCTAACAGTCTGGATATAGAAAAAGCTTTGAAGGGCGCTTGTGGTCTGCTTTGCAGAATAGTTCCTCAAATTGTTGCCTTATCTTTTAAACTTGCCTCACTAGACCAGAATCCTGTGACATAGATGATGGTTTTATCTCTCATTTACAAACAAGGAAACGGGGTTGGGGTTGGGGGGAGTCCCATCGCCAGTAAGTGTCAGAGCAGGGATGGAAACCTATCTGAGCCTAGGTGCGTGGTCTTCGTCCTAAGTCTGCTTTCTCCGCCACTGTCCCCACGTCTGCCGGCCTCCTCCTTCCCCAGGCTTAGAGCCCTGGCTGTGCCATCTACTCTGTGCCTTCCCTGACCGCTGGCCCCTGTGCTGGGAAAGGAGAGGAGGGGTCCTCTGAGGACCTCTGCATGCTGAGGCTGGGGCCTCCTGCTGCACTGGGGCAGCCTCAGCCCTCTTCCTTCCTTAGCCTTCTCTTGTCCTCACCTCTCTTTGCTTGGACAAGTAGGGGGGCAGGGAGGAAGCCATGAACAACATGAAATGGTGTAAATAACTGAGATTCTGAGTTTGCTTTCGTCGTTCTGCGATAAAACTTGAGACCCTATCTTTCCCGTCTGCATGGTGCGTTCTCTCGAGTATGGATCTGTATATATACTGGCAATGGCAGGTTTCCGGGGAGCTCAGATTGGTGGAGGCCAGTTTATACCTTTCTGTTTTCTCCCAGACTTTGCAAATTGCAGGTCTTTGTGCACTTGCAAATCTTTCCACATATCCCCTTATAAGTATTCCCTTTTAAGCTACTTGTAGGAAGATGGGACTGGGGAGGGCCACTCAACTCCTGTGAGCTCATTTTATCCCTCAGGCTCCTTGAATGGAGTTTTTCCCCATTTTGCTGGATTGAGGCTACAGTGAGATCCCTGTTTCTTATTTGGGGCTATTTTTGTCCTGCAGTAGCTTTTAGGCAACATGGGGAAATATTTTAGCTAACATAATGAGAGGAGAGGGTACTACTGGCATCTGATAAGTGGAAGCCACGGGTGCTGCTGAATATCCCACGATGCGCAGAACATTAAAGAATTAATTATCCAGTGCCAAATGTCAGTAGTGCTGAGGTTGAGAAACTCTGAGTTAGTAAATGTAGAACTGAATAGAAAACATTAAATTTTAATAATTAAAAAAGTAAAAAAGCCAAAGGGATCTTTGCATGAATGCTTAACCCATCTGGGTTGCCTCCAACTGAGTAAATGCAGCAGAGTTGTCCACGACCTCTTGGCAGGGGTTGTGTACTGCCGCCAGAGCCTGGCCTGATTCAGAGAAGCTGAAGTCGTCTGCAGGCTTGATTATAATCAAGGTATACCCTCTTGCATAGGTAGCTTGTTTAAGCTCTCTCGGGTTTGCATTGGAAACGCTGCAGCATGAAGCAGAGTCCCTCTCTTCTGTGGGAATTCCTTCCCACTTCGATTAAAATACAAGTTTTGAAAAATTCTTTGTAACCTACTAAAAGACTTTGGAACATTTGAAGTTGAATAAAACCATTTTCATTGAGAACAACCTTCAGAGATTCTTGTTTTGAGGGGAGAAAAATAATTGGTCATCTTATCCACTTAAATAATTTTTACCTTGCATCACCCCGTTCAGCATTTGTCCTTGTGCGCTTATCTTTCTGAAGTTGCGGTCATGGCATACATGCTGTTTTACTCAGGACTTCGGATCATGCATATTTTTCTGCATTTGAATATTAGCTCTCTTCCAGATCACTTTTCCTGGCTGCATGATCTTTCCAGTTGACCTGCTTTTTGGGAAGGAGCATAGGCTTAGGGGCCAGACCTCTGTTTCCGTTTCTGCTCTACTTATTAGCTGAGGAACATGGGGGAAACGCTTAATCTCTCTGTATCTTAGTTATTCTAACAGTTTGTAAATGCAGATAATAATACCTACCTTAGAGCTGTGAGCATGAGATGAGAATACGTATGTAAAGTGCTTAGTGCTGCACTGTGCATATAATAATAGCACATCAAATGGGAGCTGTTCGTCACATAATTATTGTTGTTTTGCCAACCCCCCCCATTAGCAGTCCTATTCTGGAAAAATTCTTCTGAGCTAAAGAGTAGGGACAACTTTTTTGTTTTGTTTTCATTTTTAAAGCCACAGTTTATTTCTATTTAAAAATGTTCAAGAGACTTTAAATAGGTCCAGGGGCCCAGAGATGTTCAGGTTTAATAGAAGATCATACTGAGTTGGTGTCTTTTGGTTCCTCCTTTGCTAAAGCCTCCATTTGATTCCGGTTAATTATTTGCCCCGATAATTCTTCTAGTTGGGTAGTGGTGATTTCTCTGACTCCAGCATCTTCGGTAAATGGCCACCGGTTCATGAATGACGAGAAAAGCAATGCCAGAAACTGTCACTGTCATTGAGTGAGAGAAAGTTGTACATATGACTCAAGTGGACAGCCACCACAGCAATTCAAAACTCACCTTATTAATCCAGTAGCAAACTGGATAAGTATTTGCAGATTGTACTTGAACATCCTTCTTGCGTTATTCTTTGAAACCAGGTCCTCTCATTATCAGCGTGGGTAGCTGAGATCATGATGAGCCTCATCTAGTATTAACTGCAGCTCTTTCTCGGGGTGCCTGGATGGCTCAGTTGGTTAAGCATCTGACTTGGCTCAGGTCACGATCTCATGGGTCATAGGATCGAACCCCTGTGGGCTCTTCTGCGCTCAGTGGGGAGTCTCCTTGAAGATTCTCTCCCTCTACCCTCCAGTGCTCTATCTCTCCTCTCTCTCTCAAAGAAATAAAATCTTTTGGAAAAAATGCAGCTCTTTCAGACAGAAGCCGGTGAACACCTTACAAGATAAGATACCAGGGGACTTTTTGATCTACTTTTAACAATAGAGATTAAACCCCTTATTAATAAATCACAAAATTCTCATTTTAATGGCCGAGGAGGTGAGGCTGAGAAAGGTTAACTAATCTGTTCATGTTCATCTGCATTAGTGTAAGGCAGGAGTTCTCAATAGATCTGGGGGCCCTGGAGGTCCCACAAGCCCTTTCACGGGTCCCAAAGGTCAAATATATGTTCATAAAAATACTAAGACGTTATTTGTCATTTTTACTCCTTCTCTCATGAGTATACTGAATAAAACTCATTCAGATCCCACACTGCAATTAACCTTTAAGAAATTATTACTAGTAAAATTTTTATATTGTATTAAAGAACAGGTACAGTCACTTAGGAAGGCCGCAGAAACGTTTTAGTCTTTGTCAGTTGCATATCTGTGTGAAGCCGTTTTCTTCATATACTTCAGTGAAAACAGCATATTGCAGCAGATTGAAGCAGATTAAAGAGTCTGTCTTCTTTTAAGCCAGACAGACATTACAGAGATTTCCAAAAATGTACAGTGCTATTCTCACTTATTTGTTGGCGGTAAACTACATTTTCTTCATTTAAAAATATTTTATGCTAACATGTAATGCGTTTATTAAGTGAATATTTGAAATATTTGAAAACTTTTTAATTTCTGTTTAATTTTTATTTAATTTCTGTGTGACGAATATCAACAGAAATAACCTGCATACACAAAAGTTCTTTGACATCCTCAGTAATTTTTAAGAGTATAAAGGGGTTTTGGGGCCAAAATGTTTGAGAACTGCTGCTATGTAAAGCACAAAATACAGTATAGAAATGTAGCCAGTGTTCTACCATCGAGAAATAACACCATTCCAGGTGCCTCTTTATATGTAGTTACAGAGACAGTAAGCTAAATAAAAAGACAAAGTGGCATCATATATTTTTATTTTTTAATTTTTAGTTTTTTAGAGATTTTATTTTTTAAAAATGTATTTATTTGTCAGAGAAGGAGAGAGGGAGAGGGAGAGAGAGAGCATGAACAGGGGGAGCAGCAGGTAGAAGGAGAAGCAGGCTCCCCGCCGAACAAGGAACCCAACATGGGACTTGTTCCCAGGACCCTGGTATCATGACTTGAGCCAAAGGCAGAAGCTTAACCGACTGAGCCACCCAGGTGTCCCTATTTTTAAGTAATCTCTATACCCAACATGGGGCTTGAACTCACAGACCCTGAGATCAAGAGTCCCTTACTCTTCTGACTGACCCAGCCAAGGTGCCCTCAGTTTTATTTTTAATAAAAACAAATTATAATTTTACCTGAATTTAATGGGAGGTTTTAAAATGAAAGGAATTGCTTTTTCCACACGGGATATTAGTTTGTAAAAGATACCTCTAGGCTTAAGAAAAATAAAAGATGAAAACCAATTTCTTACTACATGTTTTAATTCTAGCCCATATATTTTGAGACTTCTTGCTTGTGAAAGAAGATTGGCTAGCACACCCTCTGTGATTCCTACATCTGTTTAGTCTTGATTCTATATTTAATTCAGTGCTTGCTCTGGTCCCCTTGCCACAGCTGCTCCCTTCCTTAATTCTTCATTTTTATTTATTGCTTTATTTGCATGGTTTCACTATTCACTCTCCTCCCTAAGAAGAGTTTGGGAGGCCGGGGGTGGTGCCTGGGTGGCTCAGTCGGTTAAGTGTCTGCCTTCAGCTCAGATCCTGATCCCAGGGTCCTGGGATCAAGCCCTGCATCGGGCTCCCTGCTCAGTGGGGAGTCGGCTTCTCCCTCTGCCCCCCCCCCCCGCCACTCGTGCGCACACTCGCTCACTCTCTCTGTCAAATGAATAAATAAAATCTTAAAAAAAGAGAGAGAAGAAGAGTTTGTGGGCAATATATTACTTGAGTTTCTGTGTTTGAGAAGATGTCCTCTTCCTTTGTACTCAAAGGGGAGCTTTGGGTTAAGTTATTCCCTGCCCCAGCACTTGCGGACACAGTACTACTGTTGTCTGGCTTCTTGTGTGCTGTGAGGAAGTCTGTGGTGTTTTCTCCTTGGTGTATGTGTTTTTTTGGCCTACATTTCTTCCTTATTCCTAAAATTCTTAGTATTGATTAGCTGTTATCATTTCTTCTTGGGGCAGAATAAGCCCCTTTCTTTTGTATACATACCTCTTTATTTCAGGTAAGTTTTTTTCTTGTTATAGTTTTGAATATTTGTCTTTTGTCCTCTCTAAAATCATTTTATAGCTTTTTTGCAATCCCATTTCAGTTTACATGATTTTCTTTAGTTTAATGCTTCTCAAAAGTTAAGCAGGCATGTTGGAGGTTCCTCAGAAAGTTCAAAGTAGAACTACCCCACGATCCAGCAATCGCACTACTGAGTATTTACCCAAAGAATACAAAAACGTGAATTTAAAGGGCTAATGCACCCCTATGTTTATAGCAGCATTATTTATAATAGCCGAGATATGGAAGCAGCCCAAGTGTCTATCAGTTAATGAATAGATAAAGAAGATGTGGTATATATATGCAATGGAATATTGTCAGCCATAACAAAGAATGAAATCTGGGGCACCTGGGTGGCTCATTCATTAAACGTCTGTCTTTGGCTCAGGTCATGATCCCAGGGTCCTGGGATCGAGCCCCACGTTGGGCTCCCTGCTCCACGGGAAGCCTGCTTCTCCCTCTCCCACTCCCCCTGTTTGTGTTCCTTGTCTCGCTGTGTCTCTCTCTGCCAAATAAATAAATAAAATCTTAAAAAAAAAATGAAATCTTGCCATTTGCAATGACATGGATGGAACTAGAGAGTATAATGCTAAGTGAAATAAGTCAGAGAAGGACAAATACCATATGATTTCACTCCTATGTGGAATTTCAGAAGCAGAACAAGCAAGGAAAGGAAAAAGAGGCAAACCAAGAAACAGACTGTTAACTGTAGAGAACAAACTGACATTACCAGAGGGGAGGTAGGTGGGGGATGGGTGAAATAGATGATAGGAATTAAGGAATATACTCGTGATGAGTACAGGGTGATTAAAATAAAAACTTAAAAAAAAAAAACCTAAAAAAATTAAGCAAGCATAAGAATCACTTCTTGGAGAGTGTGTAAAAACAGGTTTTTGGGCCACACTCCTCCAGGATCTTCCGCAGTACATGTGGGGTGGGGCTTGATAATTCGTATTTCTCACAATTTCCCAGATTGTGCTGATGGTGCAGGTCTACGAGTAGCCCAGTAGTTCTCAAAAGTTTTAGTCTCTGGACCCCTTTCCTGTCTCTCTTTTTTTTAAATTGAAATATAATTGACATATAACACTGTTTCAGGTGTACAACATAATGATTTGATATGTGTTAAATGTTGCAAACTGATCGCAGGAGAAAGTTAACATCCTATTACCACACATAGTTAAATTTTTTTTTCTTAGGATGAGAACTTTTAAAAATTTACTCCCCTAGCAACTTTCAAATATACAATACGGTATTGTTAACTAACTATAGTCACAGCTGTACATGACGTCCTCCGTACTTCTTTATCTTATAACTGGAAGTTTGTATCTTTTGACTCTCTTCACCCATTTTGTCTACCCTGCCACCCAGACCCCTTTATTCCTAAAAATTATCGAGGTCCTCAAAGAGCTTTATGGGTTATATCTCTTGATATTAATACTGGGAACATTTACATTGATTCATTTAAGATTCTTTTTTTTTTTTTTTTTAATTTATTTGAGAGAGAGCGCGAACCACGAGCAGGGGAGGGGGCAGAGGGATAAGCAGGTTCCCCTCTGATCAGGGAGCCTGACGTGGGACTCGATCCCAGGACCCTGGGATCATGACCTGAGCCGAAGGCAGATGCTTAACGGACTGAGCCACCCAGGTGCCCTACATTGATTCATTTAAAAAGAGCTGTGATGAACTCTGCATATAAACAAGTGATATGTTTTCATGAAAAATACTTTCTCCAAAGCAAACAAAAATTTACTGAGCACCAAGGAGTGTGAATGGCTTTCTTTTACATTTCTGTAGATCTCTTTAATATGGAACTTAATGAAAGATGGCTTTTGCTTTCTCTCTGTTGTAGGTAAATTGGTTTGTGTGAGACTCAATAGTGTGTATGTTGAAAGCTCTTTGTATTTCCAGGTGACTTACTGAGTAACCTGTTGCAGAGTCCTAGTTCAGCCAAACTGTTGAATCAGCCAATCCCCATCCTTGATGCGGAGAGTGAGTATATCTGTTCCCTGGCCTTGGAGTGCCTGGCCCATCTCTTCAGTTGGATTCCTCTGTCTGCCAGCATCACCCCATCCCTCCTAACCACCATCTTCCACTTTGCGCGCTTTGGCTGTGACATCCGGGCCAGAAAGATGGCGTCTGTTAACGGCAGCAGCCAGAACTGTGTGTTGGGTCAGGAGCGCGGCCGGCTTGGGGTCCTGGCCATGTCCTGCATCAATGAACTCATGTCCAAGAACTGTGTGCCTATGGAATTCGAGGAGTATTTACTACGTATGTTCCAGCAGACTTTCTACCTCCTGCAGAAAATCACCAAGGATAACAATGCCCACACGGTGAAGAGCAGGCTGGAAGAACTCGATGAGAGGTAATGAAAACAGGTGTGGAGTCGGCCATGTCCTGAGAAGGGGCCGTGACTGTTTGTCACCCTGTGCTTCGTAGTGTCTGTAATCCTCTTTGGTTTCAGAGTGTGGGGCTCCTGATGAGGAATGGACACGTAGGTGTGTACCAGTAAGTCTGAGCTTAGCTGGAAGGGCTAGGGTGGCTAGGGGGTTGAGCCGAGCTGGGAAAGTGACTGTGAATTGTGTAGGTGTGTTGTCTTTCCCCCGCTCTGCCTCCTGTCCTCCCTTCCGCCCTCCCCCCCACCCTGCCCCGTCCTCACGATTCGCCTGCAGGTCTGAGGTGGCGCAGGAGCCGAATCTGCTGCTCGTGCGTAGCCAGGAGCGTGGGAGGAGGCCGTGGAGGTACAGGAGCTCTAACACCCCCCCTTCACTTGATGTTGCCCGCCAGTGTTTACTGCCGGACCCTTCCCAAGTGAAACCGTGCAGTGTAGAGGAATGGTGTTGCTCTGAGCTCCGCACAGAGGGCCCACTTGGATCCAGAGACAGAGATGTGAATGAGGGCATGTGTTACACGTGGCACAGACTTGGGTTTCTTTGTTACCTCCCCTTGAGTGGAACCGAGAATGACCTCACTTTTCTTTCTGAAGTACTCCAAAAGATGACTCCGTCACGGTACCGTGAGGTGTGGTCTTCTGGATGATGTCCTTTATCTGTCCCACAGCTTTCGGTGATGCGATGCCACCGCTGCGTCCCAGCGAGCGGGGAAACTGGAAACTTACATTACCAGCATCATGTTGACGGTTCAGAAACATCCCGGCGGATAAATCGTATTGAGTTAGAAAATATTTATAGATTGCCAGGCAGCAAATGTTGTTAATGTCTTAATCCATTTTCCTTGGCTTGTTTTTTGTTCCAAAGCTAGCAGAGTTAAGGCATTTTCCTTTTCCTTAGAGTTAAGCAGCAGAATAGAAAGTCAAGTGTTTAAAGATCGTCCTAGTGCTTTTTAAATTTAGCAGTTTTATTAAGGGTTTTCTAAAGTTCAAAACGTGGATTCTTAAGATTCTTTTGGTTTGGGTCATTGTAAACAAGCTTTGTGTGAAATTTTGTTTGTATAGTCACAAAAGAGCTCATAATCCTGTATGGTGATGTGTTGGTTTTATTTTTCATTATTTTGTAATAGCTTTCTCTACAAATGCAAAGGCATCAGTATGCAAACACACAATTTTATATCCTTTCTAGCTTTCGTTAAGAAAGGCTGTATTTTCATATGTTAACAAAAAGTCCAGCTGCTCGCACCAACCGTCAGGTATCCGCTGTTCTGAGTTGTACTTGTAGCACAGTGTTCGTGATGGCTCACATTTGGGCGGTAGAGGAATGTGGTCACGGCTTGTCAATGTAATGCTTTTGTTATATGTAACTTTTGTGCTTTTGGTTTTATATTTTAATCCTGTGCTTCCTCTTGCCCTGAGAAAGCTGAGAGGTGCCCGGAAGCAGAAAGGTGACCTAAACAGTACTGTGTGCTTGCTTCCTGGCTCTCGGGCCCCTGACCACTAATTCTAAACAGCTAAGTCCATTCTCAGTTGTTTAGGAGCTTCTGACCTGGGGCCTCTGCCCCTCTTCTCCCCCAGTGCCTGTTTCTAACCTTCTACTGCTCATTAGCACCTGTGCCAGAAGGTGGGCAAGGGAAAGAAAATGAGGTGAAATAAAATCTAGAGTTTCAGCTACCGAATGGCCCTTGTCTGTATGCTTCAAAAATTGGGTTGGAGATTAAGATGAAATCGAGGCAGGGCGGCATTGACCCAGGACTTCTGTTTATTTTATGGGTGGCAGGGAATTGAGTGCATCTTCCTAATGATGGCTCTGAATAACCACAGCAAAAGATCACGTGATAAGCAGAGCGAGGAATGAGGAGCTCCCGCTCTTGAGTATCCATGATCCAAGGCATCAGAGAGAAGTCTCCTCATACCTGACTTTCTCTAAAAACAGTTGATTCAAATGCCTTACTGTGTTTCAAGGACTTGGTCCCATGATCCACAGAGATGGCCATTCTTCTTATCAAGCAAATTAATGGTTTTTATTTTTGTTTTTTTAAACTGCTAAAAAGCTTACACGTACGTTTTAGCTACTAGCTGTGCAGAGGTCAGAGAAGCGGGTTGGCCGCTGGGTCATACCCAAGAACAGTATGGGACATTTGATTTATGGGCCAATTTTGCTCTTCTAAGTAGTAGCCTTTTTCTTCCCCCTTTATTATTTTGCATAATCCTTTCAAAAAAAAAAAAGCTTTTTGAGTGGTGAGTTTCAGAATTGCCTGTAGCCATTAATTAATTTTTGACTAAGGCCTGTAGTGAATCTTTATCTTTGTTTATTGGTCTCTGAAATGTGATTTATGGAGGTATGTCCATCTCATTTTCTAATCACCTTTTGGTATTGAGGGGCTTACAATGACAGTTGCTGAAATGTGAGAGTGATGATGTGCTGTGTGTTTAGTAACAGCAGTCTCTTATCCTTGCAGCTGGGACCCACACTCCTCTGGGAAATGATACTGTGAATTCGCAGGAATTGGGGAGTCACTGTGCTGGGAAAGGAAAAAGCACTGGCGTGGGAGTGGATGGGGGTCCCACTCTGCCATGAGCTGGCTCAGCAACCTTGGGCGGGTCACTTTATCACCCTGGGCCTCGTCTGGCCAGTGAAGCACCAGACTCAGTTGTCCTCGGGGCCTGTCCAGCTTGGGCAGCCCTCCTCCCTTATTTTTGCAATCACTTTCAGAGTGGACTGGGGTGGACTTGTGTTTAATTAGCACTGGGAGCCAGAGGGCGGGGCAGGGGGGGAGCACGAGCATTAGGTTGCAAGCCTGCATAGACTTTACCTGGATGCCATTCCTTTGGTCTAGCTTTGTTTTGTTTTTGTTCTTAGCACATTCATTTTAATACTTTGGCCCCCTAGCAAAGACAACCAGCCTTCCGGACTTGCCACATTGAAATGATGCACATGCTCTGCCCACCGACTTCTTAGTACCTTTTCCTTTCACTTGAATTGGGTCATAATGTGAAGGAGTTAGAATCTGTGAGAGCACTAGTTTATAAGATGCCTTAATAGAGAGTGTCTGAGGATTAAAGTTGCTTTTCTGCTATGTTTCAGGTGGTAATGGAATGAAGGGTTGCCTGACCTGTAGGTAATTGTTGCAGGCCTTTATATTTTTAACTGAAAAAGTATTTTAAATCTATATAGTTCTGTACTGAAAGAAATTTGGATTGAATTTGAGTTTTCTTCTAAGGAGGTGGCTGGGATTCTGATTGTCACCCTTCGTCTTCTTGTCTTACTTAGTTACATCGAGAAGTTTACTGACTTCCTGAGGCTCTTTGTGAGTGTCCACCTGAGAAGAATCGAGTCCTACTCCCAGTTCCCCGTGGTGGAGTTTTTGACGCTTTTGTTCAAGTACACATTTCATCAGGTAAAACACGAGAACTGCTCATCCTTTCCCCCTGAAAAAAAAGTCCACTCTGTTGCTTTCAGGGGAAAGAGCTTCTTTATTTCCTAAACATTTATGTAGTACTTACTTTGTGAAGATTAACACATGTATCCTTTGTAACAACCCTTGGAGGTGGGTATTCCTAACTGTCTCCATTTTCCAGAATAAAGAAACTGAGGCACAAAGAGTCACTTGCTTAGGGTCATACAGTCAGTAAGTGGTGGGGTCAGGATTTGAACTCACAGAGTCTGTGTTCTTAACCACTGTATTGTTGGAGAAACAAAAAGATGGAAGTAGTCTGAAATTCGGGCTTTTAATTCTATTCTAAAGCTGTCACTAAAACTCCCTACAAGGAGATTGTAAGTAGTGAAGCTCTCAAGAAAGAGTTAAGTTTTGGCAGATCCGATTTTAGCTCCCATTTTTTGATACTGTTTGAGCTTGTCTTGTATATCAGGGGCTAGGCTATAACCCTCACAAGCAAAGTCCGTGCCTTCATTGAGTTTACATTTTGTGACCCACCGTCTTTTATTTATATATATATGTATATTTTAAAAGCTTTATGAAGTAAAATTGACATCTTACGAAATTCACCCATCGTAATTGTACAATTCAGAGATGTTCAGTCGGTTTATAGACTTGTGCAACCATCATCACAGTTGGGTTTCAGACATTTCTATCATATCCTATCCTGCGTGCGCACGTGTGTGTGTGATTTATTTTTTAATTCCAGTATAATTAATGCAGTGTTACATTAGTTTCAAGTGTATAGTGTAGTGATTCAGCAGTTCTGTACATTACTCAGAGCTCATCCTTTTGTGAGTGTCTTTAGAATAAGGTTTTTATTGAAGTATCACAGAGAAGTGCACAGATCATACATGGACAGCTTGGTGAATTTTCTCAAAATGAACAAACCCATGTCACCGCCACCTTAATCAAGAAATAGAACATTCCTGCCAGCACCACCTGTATCCCTTCCCAATTCCTTCCCCTTCACTTCTCCCCATGTGGAACCCAACCGTGCCTTTAACAGCCCAGATTAGTTTTGCCTCTCTGAGAACTTTTCTAAATGGAAGTCTCAGTATGTATTTGTTCTGTCTGGCTTTTTCATTCAGCGTCCGTTGGTGAGGTTCATCTGTGTTGTGTGTGGCAGTAGTTTGCCCTCATTGCTTTATAGTAAGTGATTATCTGCAAAGCCATTCCATGGCTGATTTGGGCTGCTTTTGGGTTTTTGGTGATCATGAATGGTGTTGCAGTGGATGTTCTCTTGCATGCTTTTGGGTGTCCCTGTGTAGCTCTTTCTGTTGGTGTATCCTGGTGATGACATTACTGGGTCAGTGAGGGCATGTGATTTTATAAGTAGACTGTTTTGGTAGTTTAAACCACTAATGTAGCTGGAAGAGAGACAGGGGCCTAGGCCGGGAGGGGAGTGTGTATGTGGTCAAAGGTATGGTGGTGAGCTTGGTTTTCTCAGGGCACATAAAAGTAAGCACCCCCAGTGTGTAAGGGTGACCTGTTCCTGGGAGCAGCGGGGAGGGTGCCAGGTGGAGGAGGACTAGGGTTGAGGAAGTGTCAAGATGTCTGGTAGAGGGGTCAGTGGGCACGGAGCTAGAAGGGCAGCACGCTGAGCTCACCAGACCTAAGAAGGAATGGAAGAGGTGACGAGATGTGGGAGGGTGAGGAGGTAGGACAGAAGCATTTGAGGTGGGAACGTTTTGAGATGGATTCAGAGAAATGGATCCAGAGGGGACCAGGAAGAAAGGGTTCGGTAGACACCTTAGAGTAAGTGTAGCAGAAATGAAAGAGATGAGCCAGTGCTGAGGTCAGAAAAAAGGGGTTTATTTGGGGAAATGGAATGAAAATGTTTTGCCGTTTTGCTTTGTGTAGGAAGTTTTCTGTCTGCCCTTTATATGTGGTATAGAAGAAAGCTAAATAGAAGTTTTTTTTTTTTTTTTTAAAGATTTTATTTATTTATTTGACAGAGGAGTTGGTCGGGGAGAGAGCACATGAGCAGGGGGAGGAGCAGAGGGAGAAGGAGAAGGAGGCTCCCTGCTGAGCAGGGAGCCCAATGTGGGGCTCATTCCCAGGACCCTGAGATCATGACCTGAGCCGAAGGCAGACGCTTAACCGACTGAGCCACCCAGGTGCCCCCTAAATAGAAGTTTTAAAGTATGCAGGTCTTATGCCCTACTTCTTTGGACCTGGACCCAGTTCTGTGTTTGAGCTCTGGTTATTTCTATGAGGCCTATGTCCTTGGACCAGTCATCTTAATTTCCTTAGATTTAGTCTCCTCACCTAAAGAGATGGACTGTGGTGGGCACCTTCACAGTCTGGCCCAGTGTTCATCATCTGTGGTCCCCTCTTTAGAATCCTATGTGTTCGTTTTCCGTTGAACTCATAGTGGTGGTTTTATATATTTATATGTGTTATATACTGGGAAAAGAAATGGCTATGGTCATGAAGCCAACAGCAAGCTTCTTTCTCCCTCCATTAGCTGAGGTCACTGTCAGCCGAGCTCCCTTGTACTCTCTTGGCCTCCTGTATGAGGACCTTCCTTTCTGGGCACAGGCTCTCAGACTGTGGGAGTCGGTGTCCTTTGGGAGTTTGGGGTCCAGGCAGAAGCAGATTTGAGCATCAGGCAGAGGAGCAGGAAGCTGGAAGGTGCTCTGTGCAGTTACTGTAGACTGGGCCGCCCTTCGCTAGAGAGGCAGGGTGGAAAAAAGATGGCAGGGTGCACTCCAGGATCAGGAGCTGGTGGGAGTAGGGGAGTTCTTTGGGGGTAATATTTAAGAATAAGAAATGAAGTGCTCTCAAGAGGTAGTTTTAAGTTCTCATCTATTCATTAACAGTGTGATCTAACTTTATCATAATTTAATTATCTGTGAAGTGGGAAAACGTACTTTCCTCTTGTCTAGAGGGTTATGAGTGTACTCAAGTGTTTCTGCCTTTTGTTTCTAAAATTCAGAGGGGTGCCTGGCTGGCTCAGTGGTAGAGCATCCGACGCTTAATCTCAGGGTCATGAGTTTGGGGAGCCCCATGTTGGGTATAGAGATGACTTAAAAAATTTCATAAGAAATTTTAGTACTGGTCGCGATATATTGAAAGAATAGTAATGAGACAAAGATGGTGTTAGTATCTTTCTGTAACTCTTGCCGCTCTCTTCTTTTCTTTTCCTACATTTTTTTTCGCCAAAGTATCCTGTCGCAGTGCCTCCAGCCCCTGGAGCTCAGCAGGTGTTTGCCTCCACCATTGCTCTCCCTTCTGGGGTGTGCCTAGAAGTATCTGATTTCTGTCTTCCTGTCCTTCTTTTACCACATTGTCACCAGGTCCTTCTTGGTCTTGCATTTTCAACCCCCCCCCCCCACCTCTCTTTCTTACAACAGTGCCTGGGGTAGTGTGGCCCAGGGGAGAGGGCTCTGGACCAGGAGGCTTAAGTCCCACATTCTAGTTCTCTTTCTGTTCCTTATCTTGTCACCTTGGGCAAGTGACTTTGCTTCTGAGTCTTGGTTTCTCTATCTGTAAAATGGGAAGAAGAAAAGCACCTGTCCACTTTCCAGGGCTGTTGTGAAGATCAAATAGACCAATGCAAATAACCACTGTAAAGTGCTTGGAGAAGGGTGGTATCACGAATTTCTTGAAGAAACTTGTCAGGCTCTTTAGTGATTGATCAACCCTGGAGTGTGAAAAATAAATCTGAGTACAGGTACATTTTTAAAATGGGTCTATGAGGGTTCTGAAACATTGGATGACTCCAAAAGTGCAGCCAGCCTGTCATCTTTATGAGCTTAACGATCTGTACCCACAGCAGTTGTCACAGGTGAGATTATGGGCAGCGCACAAGGCCTCACAGTGGGGCCTGCAGGTGGGGATGTGTTTCAGGTCCTACAGAGGGTGTACCTGCCCACCTTATTTTCCAGTCTTGAGCCACGTGGTAAATCCTCAATTCAGAGGCATGGGGAGGACATGTACAATTGTAAGGTACTTAGACATAACCATAAACCCTGGGTTTGTGTGGTGACTTTTCCCAAAAGCACTTCCACAAGTATCTGATCAGTTATGTTCTGTGGAGGGGAAGGTGGGTGTGTTCAGATCTAGGAGGGACAACTGAGTGATCGACCTGCAGGAAGCTCAGCAAGCCACAGCCAGGAAAGATTCCATCTCCTGTCTACAAGCTACCCATATTGTCTCCACGTGGCTTATTGTTTTCTCTCCTTATTCTTTGGGCTCATTTCATGTCGTGGACATCCTGGGTTTTGCAAAGGATGAACTGGAGACAGGAAACGGTCATTCTGTTTTCTGAGGATGGCCCTGTCGGTGATCCTTATTGAGCTATGCATTCCAGTTCCAGGGTGACCCTGTGGGTTGTGGGGTTGGACTCTGCCCGCATCTGCCCCAGAAAAAGTTAGGTTTTCTGTCTCAGACTCAGCATGGGTACAGAACTTCCATCTCATGCTACCACTCAATATGCAAATCCCACATACGCCCTTGTAAGCCTCTGGATTTCCTTGTAGATCTGAAATGGAAGGAAACTGAACATAGAAGACGATGGTATTATTTCTTTTCCTGTCTGATCCTGCCACCAAACATGGGGCTCAGTGAAGTAGTCCACAAATAAAATCAAAGAGCTCTTGGAGGTAGCAGGAATTTGAATGGATATAGAAGGGATTGGGGGCTGCAGGTTGAAATCGAATATGTGTGAGAAGGACTAGATTTTGGAGAACATAGTGCCAAGATTCTGCATGAAGTAGAATCTGAAGGCTCTTGAGAAATTGGAGCACTAGGACCCTACAAAGACTCGCTCTTCTCTGCTCACTTTGTCTTTATCAACACCTGGTTAGAGATTGCTATTAGCCTGTTGGACACCCCTTCTTCTGCAGAGGAGATAATGCCTGAGGGTCAGAATGAAGCTCGTTTTCAGTCTCTTTGTACGAAGACTGCAAATGTTACTTTCCTAACCTTCAGATGTGTAAACTTGGCACCTTCGGAGCCACTGGGTTTTTGGTTTTGTAAGGGTGTGTAGTGGAAAGAGCATTGGCTGGGGGTAAAGGGACCTGCTCCTACCCCTGACCTTGAATAAATCATGTCTCTGGATCTCAGTTTCTTTTTCTCTAAAACAGATTTGAATTGGATGATCTGTGAGGGCCCCCCCCCCCCCAATCAATCTTAGATTTAAAGATTGGCATCTGCTCGGCTTATTTTGTAATTCAGTTTGTCCTGCATAGTATCTCCCTAATGATGTGTTCGCGGCACTCTTGTCTTGTTAGGATCACCAGGGCCCAGTCGTGAAGACCATCTAAAAGATACCAGTTGTGGTTACCAGGAAGCGGAGGGAATCTAGGCTTTTGGTTGCACCATTCTGGTGGAAATCAACACTGGTGGGTATGTTTCTAAGGAGGAGTCGCATTAAGTAATTTCATTGTCTGGATTTCTTTTGCATCATAGCCTACTCATGAAGGTTACTTCTCTTGTTTGGATATCTGGACGCTCTTTTTGGACTATCTGACAAGTAAAATTAAAAGCCGTCTGGGAGACAAGGAAGCAGTTCTCAACAGGTAAACCCCAGAAACATTGATAACTAGAAATAGACAGTTTTGCCAGTTTTTCTTGTGGCCCAAAGGGATAGCCATGCAGCCAGACCTCTTCAGTGAGACTGGGTCACGTAAACTGGTTAGGTAGTTATGTCATTACACATTTTCGTATTCTTTTTTCGTATTCTTGTTTTCTTAAAACATTTTTTTCTGATTAAAATAATTTGTATTGTTAATGTTTTAGGTGTGACAATGTTTTCATGGGTTTGTTTTTAAGTGGCCCTTATTTTAGAGGTGAAAAACTGAAGTATTGGATGAAGTGATACGACATCTGGGATTTGCTTTAAAGTAATGCACTGTGGATAGAGGGAAATGGCCATCTGTTGATAATTGATGTTGACCTTTATTGATGCTAACTTGGGGTTCGTTATATTTGTGGTCTTTTTGTATGTGTTTGAAAATTTCCTAAACAAAGTAATAAAGGCTTGTGGAAAATAAGTATTTTAAAAACTAGGAAAAGATAGAAAAATATAAAGAAAAGTTATCCATAATCCCATAGTCCAGCAAAAATTACTTGTGTACTTTTTATTGTATTTTTTTTTTAAGATTTTATTTATTTGACAGAGAGAGAGATAGCGAGAGCAAGAACACAAGCAGGGGGAGTGGGAGAGGGAGAAGCAGGCTTCCCGCTGAGCAGGGAGCCCAATGTGGGGCTCGATCCCAGGACCCTGGGACCGTGACCTGAGCCGAAGGCAGACGCTTAATGACTGAGCCACCCAGGCGTCCCCTTTTTATTGTATTTTTAAAAAACAGTAAATGGGGAAATGTTTTTTCCCCCGTGTGTTTCTCAAGGTCATTTTTCTTATAGGCAGAAAGTATATTTCCTGTACACTATAGTTATTTCAGAAATGAAATAATGAGCTAATGCTTGGCACATTATGAATGCTTGCTCAGTAAATGGCATCAGTGGTTGGTGGTGGAGATACTGAACACCCCTTCCCCAGAAATGTGCCAAATGGAGGTGGTGAGGCGAATCCCCACCTGGGAAGAGGTTGGACTGACCTTCTCAAACCCTTTGTATTGCTGAGGTTTTATGAGTTTTTCAAATTTGAAACGGAATATTTACATTCCAAGTTGAAACATTTGCACTTTTGTTCCCAAAACATTATTTTTGTGATTGCAAAATAGCTTCCATGTTGCTATGGTGTCAGGTCAGATGTGCTTTATGGGTAGTATATTCGTGTAACTGAAACTTCATTACACAACCGTAGATCCTGTTTTTGGTGAATTTGCCAACTATAAGTATTGTTTTTGAATGAGCTTCTTCAAAGAAAAGGTATTTCCGCCTTATTCTCTATTTTGTATGCTGAACAGTTGTATTCTTTGGTTCTGGGACTGTGCCTGATTTTGCTATATTTAGTGGTAGATATTCTTTCACATCTCTCAGGTTTATTGGAAGAATAAACTGAGGAAATGATTAATATGTAAATGCTTTTTAAAGCACAGTACAAATGTGTTTTAGGTATGGAGAATCTGGTTTCATTGAGAAAATATGTGCTGGCAGATTATTAGTATTAAATATACACTTGTGCATATTATTGTACCAACAGAAAGAACGGTGGTATAGAATTTAAATTCCTTTTCTGCTTCATGGGAACAGTGTTACTTTTGGTCAAGTTATATGCTGATTACATTTCCTGTTGCAAAATGCGCATACTGACATCTCTTGCAGGATGGTTAGGATTCAAGGAAATCATGTGTATAAAGTGCCTGAGTAGTTAGCCTGTTTTTGGCCCTCAGTCATTGGTCACAGTGATGACCACAACTGTGATAATAAGTAACAGGAGACATTGCTGCCCTTTGACCGTGCCCATGACCGTGTAGTTAAGTGATAGGGCCCTCCACCTGTACATGTTGACCCGCCTGTCACAGTTGTTTGGCGTGGTGGCTGTGACCGCTTTAAACACTAGGAATTTTTCTCATTGATCATTTGATCATCATCCTAAACGAGGCTTTCTAATTTTTTTTTTTTTAAAGATTTTATTTATTATTTGACAGGGAACACAAGCGGGGCGGGGGGGTTACGGTGGGAGAGGGAGAAGAGGCTTCCTGCCGAGCAGGGAGCCAGATGCGGGGCTCGATCCCAGTACCCCTGGGATCATGACCCAAGCCGAAGGCAGATGCTTAATGACTGAGCCACCCAGGCGCCCTGAAGCTTTCTAATTTTTTATGACTTTTTTAAAAAAAAAACATACAGTTAGAATGCTTTTATGCCCTTGAAAAAACAAACAAACCCTAAACCTTCAAAGCTGGTCTATGTTTTTTTTTTTTGTCATTGAATAGTAACCATCACCTGGGGAACTATTTGTTGATCAGACACTGCCTAGTGGTCTAGGGTCGCAGGCTACAAAGAAGGTGTATAAGGTAGTCCCCTGAAGGGCACAAAGAAAATAGTTGAATTTTAATGTCTCTGATTTTCCTGTCACCTCTTACACTGTATATTTATGCAGGTGTGCGCTCACGTCCTTAAATAAAAGTTTTTAAAATGTGGTGACCACTGTTCTAGGTTCTAAGAGACCCTGGTGTGTCAGACATGTGCTGTTTTGCAGAAGGGCTGATAAAGAGCTCTGGCTACTGGTAATGACCCACTCATTTTAATAAAGCACATAAATGTGATCAAATGTTTTTCAGCTGATAAAATTCATCTGAAAGAAGTTGAGGTGCTTTTGGAATCACATTGGTGGCTTGAGCCAGAATTTCAGAAGCAACTGATCTTGCAGGAACTAGTCAAGAATGTTTTCTTGGTGTCTTAAATGGGAAACGTAGGTGTGGTTAAGTTACAGAGACAGCACTCAGTTCCTGTCCCTTGTGGTTTACAGGTTTTGCATCATTCATCACAACAAAGTGGTGTAGGCATTGTAGGCTATAAATTTAGAAGCACAAATGTGCATGGATTTATTTTTGGACCTAGGAGCTTGGAAATTGGAGCTCTGCATGTTCCTTACTCAGTGAGAATGCTCAAGTGTTTCTTGATCAGAGCTGCTGGGGACTTGCGTCCCACTGTCAAAGGAATGTGTTCTGTAACGTAGCCAGCTGAGCAAAGCTGCTGCTGGAGTTTCGTTGTCCAGATTGGCCATTTTCAGGTGGTGGTTTGGGAAGACCTGAAGTTCAGTCTCCTTTTCCTCTGCTGTACTCTGGGGAGGGTTGTGTCTACTCACAAGCTGTTGAGAAAAGGAAGTGAACCGGTGCGTGTTCAGTACCTTGGCTGACAGTAGTGAATAAGTACTGGTTCTCTTCTGTTCTCCCTCCCTCACTCCCTTCTCTTTGTGCTTGTCACTGTGAAAGCAGCCACCTCTGTAGAAACTTATTTTTACAGGAAGATGAGGAAACCTGAAGGGAGTTAAGCAACCTAAAGTTATTGAGTCATGTCCTGTGAGCCCCTTTGTTGTGAGAGTACTGGCAAGTACTGGCCACAAACCAGCCAGGGATTCTGAGTGACGCTGGGTTGGACTGTAAACAAATGTGGGTGAGCGTGAGAAAACCTGCTCCCCTTTCTTTTCCGGTTGGGTTTTTCTGCTTAACAAAAAGGAAGTGCCTTTGTGGCACGTGGCATTTTGATACAGTTAATAAAAGGTGATAACTAGGTTTGTGTCAGGGCTCTAGTAGTTTTCTAGGTCCTGTGAGGAGAAATTCATGCTGTTGATGGACTTAGAGATCAAGTGATTGGGGTCTCAGTTATTTCATTGAGTTGAGAAAGCGGTCTAGGGTCCTGCTCCAGTCCTTTGTAGTTGCCTGACTTGGACTTTTGTCTTTTTCTTGCCTGTGCATTTATTCATTTTTTTTTGTTCATTTGTACTTTTCACTCATTGTTTGTCTACTGAACACCTACTATGTAGTTGCTTCCATGTACATTTTTATTTAACCCAGCCCTTAGGGTGCCTTGGAATCACATTTGTGGCTCGAGCCACACAGGTCTACAGGTTTATCTCCATTGCATGTTTAAGCATGTAATGCTACAAATTTCCCTCTGAGTACTGCTTTAGCTGTGTCTATCAGATTGTCCTATGTTCTCTTTTCCTATTTGCTGAAGAGATTTTCTAATTTCTCTTTGTTTTTTAACTTCCAAATATTTGGAGATTTCCCACCTATCTTGTTGTGACTATTTTCTCGTTACTGTGATCTGCAAACATAGTTTGTGTGATTTCAGTTCTTTTCAATTTGCTGAGGTTTGTTTTATGACTTAGTCTTCTTGGTGATTGTTCTGCTGTTGTTGGATGGGGTGTTCTATAGATGTCGGTTAGGTCAGGTTGGCGGTGGCATTCTGTGTGTCCTCTGTCATGTTCTGTCCGTGGGACAGAGGCGAGCTCTTTGTGTATATTTGTGGGTCTCCTTTCAGCCCTATCATTTTTGCTTCATTTATTTTGAGACTCTTTTGTTAGTTTCACACAAATTTAGTTTCCCTTTTCAATGTATTTATTGTTTGATGATATCTCTGAGATTTTTAGAGCTTGCTCTGGTATTACAGTGTATTTGCTTTTCACATTAACATTTCACCACTTCAAGTATATGTAGAAACCTTACCACCACATAGATCCTTTTCCCTCCCTTCTTTGTATTGAGGTTGCCACATTTTACATCTGTATCCATGGAAAACCCCATCAGACAATGTTTTATTTTGCTTTCATCCATCATTAATATTTTAAAGATTTTTTTTTTAAGATTTTATTTATTTATTTGCCAGAGACACAGCGAGAGAGGGAACACAAGCAGGGGGAGTGGGAGAGGGAGAAGCAGGCTTCCTGCCAAGCAGGGGGCCTGATGCGGGGCTTGATCCCAGGACCCTGGGATCATGACCTGAGCCGAAGGCAGGCGCTTAACCGACTGAGCCACCCAGGCGCCCCTATTTTAAAGATCTCAAGAGGAAAGAAATAGTCTGGAAAATACTAGGGAGATGGTATTTACCCAGACACTTGGCAGTTCTCTTTCTTTTGTCCTTCATTCTTGAAGTGCCAGGTTTCTTTCTCGTGATCATTTACCTACTGTGTTAATCAGCTCAGGCTGCCGTAACAAAATACCACTGGCTGTTTTATAGGCCTTATCTCCAAATATAGTTACATGGGGGTTAGGGCTTCAGCATAAGAATTTTGAATGGACCCAATTCATTCCCTAGCATCTTTTATCTGAAAAACCTTATGGAAGATGGTTGTAATAGTTGCCTTAAAAGTCTTTGGTAATTCCAGTCTGTTGTCATCTCTAGGTCGGCTTCTCTTGATTGTCTTTCCCTTGATAAATGGTCAGTGCCTCCTCATTCTTTGTATGTTTACTCATATTCTTTCTGGAACCTTTTACCTGCCTCAGACATGGCTTCCATCTCCACAGTCACTTTGTGGTCAGAGATAGATACTGCATTTACAGACATCACACCACGATTCAGGTAGCAGGAATAAGAAGGGGAGAGGTTGGACAAAAGGTGCTTTTCCAGAGGCTCTGCCTAATGACTTTTCTTAATACGTCCTCAACCACTGCCATCTGCAAGGGAGGCTGGGAAATGTAGTCTTCCAGTTGACCTCAGTGCCCAGTTGTCTAACTGAGGGAGAAAGGAAGAATGGGTATTGGGTAGGCAACCAGAGTCTGCCACACCCATATACTCTCCCCACCTTCATCAGATACTTTGGGGGAGCAATTACTACCTAAGTGTGCTTTAGCCTGGTTTCTAATTGGGTTTAATTATCTATGCTTAGATAAGCTTTTTTTTTTGCAGCCAGAGTTGCTGACTGCCAGTAGGGTTTTAGGTCTAATTTAGGGTTAGCCTATACATACAAAATCTTTAAATTCCCTTTTAGCTCAGCAAGACAATTTGTAGATGACAGGTTTCTTCTGCCCTCTGGTCTGAAGTGGATTTTCTTTCCTAGCAAAATTGTGAAGATGTGTTGGTCCATCATAGCAATTTATAGCATACAACTTCTGTAACTAACTTTAGGAATTTCTCTCTGAGCAAATGGCAAATACAAGCTCCGGGCTTAAGTGTTTGATCTTACCTTTTTCTCTGAAGTCTACTGAAATGGAATTTTGAGTCTATTGGCAATTTTTGCCACAGATGCTGCCTATTTTATTAGTGATTTTCGCCGCCAGCATTTGTTTCTGGGCCATGCTCAGTTGCCCATCTGGCCTAGGTTAAATCGTTTGCAAACACTGTGGGGAGGGGTGGTCAGTGTTTCTGTCTTAGTGAAAAAATGAGCTCTTCTGCCCACCAAACTCTGCAATATGACGTTTCAGGAGGACGCTAAATGAAGTCTTTAGACTGTCTGTACAGAGTCTCATTACAGGGGTGGTAACTTAGACTAGATAGACTGTATTTGATCTTGGCATTGGTTACCTTTTAGCTGTGGTTAGCTTGTCCCAGTACTCGCCTGCATTGGATTAGATGGTTTATGAGGTAGAGTCCTGTCAGGAAGATGGAAACCAGACTTAATTATTTTAAGAATTCAGTGTAGGAAATTGGTGAAACTGGCGCTGGAGGATTGGAAGAGCAAGAAGGAAACACCGAGATAAAGCAGATGAGAACTACAGGAAGCAGCCCCACCCCTAGGGCTGAGGGTACAAAGGAAAGAGGTGGAGTTATTAAGGTCTAGATCAGAGGGCTGGACCCCATGCCCCTGGAGCGCAGGTCTCTGAGGAGGGGGTGGTGCCCAGCTGCCCTGGGAGCTCAGAGGAGGGGCCCAGTGGAGCTGGTACTCACGGTGTAGAGGAGGGGATGCGGGCTGGCTGCTGCTGGCACCTCTGAGAGCCTGAGGCGGGTCTAGGCGTGGGGAAGCTGAAAGTGGACCCATGTATTACTTCCAGGTGATTGTTGGCTGGGCAACACTGCCAGGACGGTGAGCCCACAGGAAGAATGGTGTCTCTGTGCCCCTTCTGCTGCTCCGTCTTCCTGCGGTGCCCCTGCTGCAGAAGCTCCAGGCAGAGGACAAGGGTGCTTTGTGCACTCTCAGCTCCAGTAGCCTGGAGGACGGCAAAGACCGTTGCTGAGGGCCTGGCATGGGTGCTCAGCTTTATGAAGGGGAGTAGTTCCTGAACCTATCTTAGAAATGCTTCAGGACAGACAGACATTTAGGCAGCTGGTTTGTTCTTGAAAATTAGTGGCCCTTGTGGTGCAACTGCTGCAGGTAACTTGGTGTCTTCTGAAGTAGGTTCTTATCACATGTGGGAAATACCCAGACCTGGGGCTTTAAATGTTTTCTTTGAGAAGTTCTTAGATATAGGTCAAAGGGGCAGGGTTTCCCCAAGCTTCTTCCATTTATTCCTTTAGGTTTTTAAGTGTTCTTAAAAACTGACTGAAGGTAAGGTTTTGGGGAGTGGGCAGAGCAGGCTCAAAGACCATTGGTGTTTTACGTAGAGAGCATGGGATGTTGAGTTATGGAACCCCGGGTTCAAATCACCTAGCTTGGTGACCTTGGGCAGTTTATTTAACTTCTTTTAACTGTGGTTGCCTCGTCAGAAAAACACCAGTAATACCATCTACCTCTCACAGATGTTAAAATGATTGAATTATTGAATCATATACTGAATCAATATAAATTGATATTTACATATAATTACCTGTAATCCCCAGGGCTAACTATAGAGCAGATGACTCACAAATGCGTGGTGAAAGGAATGACAAAGGAATGAAAATGGCACACTAGGAAATGTCTGTACACAAAAGGAGGCGGTCATGGAGGAACTGAACGAAAGCCATGACCTAGAGGAAAGAAGTAGCACAGTGGCAGAAGTCCTTCCTTAGCAGTAATGACATTAAATGTGAAGAATTAACCTCTCTGGTTTAAAAAGCAGTGATTGGCAGAATGGATTAAAAAAACATCATCCAACTACATGTTGTCTGTAAGAGACTCACTTCAGTTTCAGAGACACAAATAGGTTGAAAGTAAAACCGTTCCATGCAGACAGTAACCAAAAGAGATTTGGGGTAGCTATGCTAATATCAGGCAGAGTAGACCTGAAGATGAGAGTGGCTGCCAGGGGTGGGAGTGGGGTGCCCAGGTGGCTTAGTCGGTTAAGCGTCCGACTCTTGATCTCAGTTCAGGTCTTGATCTCAGGGTTGTGAGAGGAGCCAGTGTGGAGCCTACTTAGAAAAGAAAAAAAAAAAAAAGTGGCTGCCAGGGACAGAGAAGGACGTCATCTAATGATCTAATGATCCTTCAGTCCCTCAGTCCAGATGGATCCATCGGTCCATCAAGAAGGTGCCTGGAACATGATGAATTGAAGAAATACCCCTGCTACCATTCCACCCTGCACACGCTCTTGTCAACCCACAAACTAAATCTAGTTCACATGCTGCTTGTATATGGTAATCCAGCAGGGACACCGTTCTTTCTCATAGTTCAGGAGGCCTTTTCAAGGCTAAAAGCCTGCTGTCACCTGATGTTGAATTTCTCCCTGTCACGTAGGTACGAAGATGCTCTAGTCCTTTTGCTCACAGAGGTGTTGAATCGAATCCAGTTCAGATATAACCAGGCCCAGTTGGAGGAGCTGGATGACGAGACTCTGGATGACGATGTAAGTGGCGTGTTCTAATCGACCTTAGTCATTGTCGTTTTTGGTGTGAGTCCAGATGGAGACTGGGAACCTGTAAGCTCTCTGCTCTGGAGCCACAGTAGTCTCACAGTTTGAGTTGTGCATTTGAACTTTACAGCTGACCTTGAACAGTGCAGGGCTCAGAGGCGCTGACCACCCGCACAGTCAAAAATCTGAGTATAACTTTTGACTCCCCCAAAACTTCACTGGAAGTCTTATCAACAAATGGTCAATTAACACATATTTTGTAATATGTATTATATACTCTATTCTTACAATAAAGTAAGCTAGACAAAAGAAAATGTTATTAAGAAAATTGTAAGAGAAAATAAATTTCCAGTACTGTACTGTTTATTGGAAAAAAAAAAATCCCATATAAGTGGACCTGCGCAGTTCATACCCCAATTGTTTAGAGGTCACCTGTATTTCCTGTTCGTCTTTGTGGGTTCGTTAATTGTAAAAGGAAGTTGACAGGCATTTTTATCTGTAAGGACTAGAGATAGGAGCAGAGAAACCATATGCACAGTGAGAAGAGGTTTAGTAAGGGCTCTGTACTCCCCTCGTTCCTCTGCCTCGTACCCACACCTCTGCTCCCTCTGGGCGATGAACAAACAGCTGGCTGGATGCAGGTGGAAATAAAGTATGACTTAACTGGCAAGCCTAGAGCGAAAGGAAGGCTCTTTTGAGTGTATGTTGTAAATCAGTATCTTAAAATCAATCTTGAATTTATTGATGCTGGTGTGCCCATCATGGATAAAGAAGATGTGTTGAAGGACACAATTCCCATGTTCCTTTTTCTTAGTCACCATGCACTTTAGAATTTTCAGGTCACTGGTATGGCTTTCAAAATAACAGTGACGGTGGCATGGTTAAGACCTTGAGGGGTGGCTATCTTTGGGTTAGAAAGAGCCTTGTACTTGGAACCCAAAGGCCTTGGACCCGAAGGAGATAGAAGTCTGGGCCTTCAGTTTCTCTGAGCCTTAATTTCCTCCTGTCACAAAAGGGGAGCGATGTGTCTGACTGGCCTGTGCTGACAGTTACATGAGGGTCGCTTGTGGAAGGGCTGGCTATATGCCTGGTACATTGTGTGTGCTTGGTAAACTTGAGCTTCACTTCTTGTTAACCATATGATTTAGTACAGTGCTTCTCATATTTGAGCATGGGTGAGAATCCCTGGGACAGCTTGTTAAACAGACTTTGATTTGGGAGGTGGGGCCACAGAATTTGCATTTACCTACCGACCTGCAGGAGATGCTGGTGCTGTCTTGTCTGTGGACCATACTTTGAGTGGCACTGATGTAGTCCATTATACTGAAAGGAACGTAGTCATGGACTGTTTCAGAAGGTAACGAATGAGTGGCCACTTTCTATAGCTAGGATGTCATAAAGGGGACTTGAACACTTCACAGGTGACTTTTTGAAGTCTGTATTCCTCTGACCGTAGGGGAAAAAGTAGGTCATTCTCTGTGGATCATGTGCTTTCTGAGGAAATAACTTTTTATGAAGTTAATTCATTGGATCAAAAAATACTCTAGGTTGATCTTTTTAAAGTACTAAGTAACCCAGTTTGATCATTTGACATTTCTTCAAGATCTTCTAAGAGTGGACTTGAGGTTGCGGTTGAAGGGACAAGGGAGATGTCGAGACTCTGCCTTTCTGGGAGAGCTGATCCTTCTGTGTTTCCCCTGCAGCAGCAGACAGAGTGGCAGCGATACTTGCGCCAGAGCTTGGAGGTGGTGGCCAAAGTGATGGAGCTCCTTCCCACACACGCCTTCTCAACACTGGTAACTCGCCTCTTGGAGGGGAATGAAGAGCCTAGTGTTTTCCCTGCACATGTAGCATGGGTAGTAAGCGTCTTTGCTCACCGATATTTAAAAAAAATATATATATGTGTGCATGTGTATATATGTACATATATATATATTTAATTTAATTTATTTTTAAAGAGAATAATAATTACTATAACCAACCCTCAAGTTTAACAAATGTTAACATTTCCCCCGAATATTTTAAATCAACTTCTGGAAGTGCTGTTTTTCTTTCCTGAATTCTTGGATGTAATATGAATTTTTCTAATGCCTTCCTCCATGCCTGCATCAGTAGCTCCAAAATGGCCAGGCCACGTAGAGGACTTACTTATAAAGATTACACTGCTGGAAAGCGAGCCTTTGTAAAGCTCATTGCTAGCACTCTGCCTATATTTATGTGCTAGAATCTTAGGCATAAGGACTGCTTTCATTCACTAAGTGGTGCTTGTTATTTGAGGAGGTTTCATTAAGCCTAGCTCTTCTTCAAGGGCACGATGATTTCGGGGGCTTGTGTTCTCTTGTAGAAAGTGCTGTTGTGTTTTGCCAGCTGCCTTTCCTAGGGACCTGTCACATTAAAGTCTAATCTATATCTTCATGGTGAGTGAGCAGCTTTAGAGAGAAAAGATACGGCTTTGGTTATGAAGGTCCTGTCTGCTAAATGAGTAAAGGAATCTGACTTCCAAAAAATTTGGCCTGTCTTTTCACTTTGCTATGCACTTTTAATAAGGCATATCTGGTAGTTCTTTCCAGACTATAGAGTTTCCCTTGGAATTGTAGGGAGATAGGCCCTGTCTCCGACCCCTAGAACGTATAGATCATTTGGGGTTTGATGTCCCCTCTTTTAGGAACATGACAGTCATTATAGTCCTACCCAGCATCCACTGCTTTATTTAGAAAAAGAGTATTGAACTGATAATGTTGTTTTCTTTCTTATTCCAAATGTTAATTGGTGGTGTGAATTGGAGAAATTGCTGAGGGCAGGGCACTGAATCGACACGCTTCTGCTTAGCTGCCTGTAAAGGTTCCCAGAGAAAAGTTTCTTTTATCTGATGCCCGCCCCCCATAGATACTTAATAATGTTTTAATGTTAAAATGCTGTTAAAATTTGCATTTATTTATTTATTTTTTAATCTTTGTTTCTTTGTTTTCAGTTCCCAGTTCTTCAGGACAATTTAGAAGTTTATCTGGGGTTACAGCAGTTTATAGTTACTTCAGGGTCAGGTAAACTGGTTTTTATTTTCTAATTTAATCAACATTAAGAAAAATATCGGGCTGATATTTAATTATTGCCATCTTTGCTGTCGGAACATGATTTCTCCACTGCCACCTTCCCATGGCTCTATCTCTCCCCACGTCTACACAGGGAAAACTTTCCTAAAGAATCATGATAAAAAGGAGCTGTGGGGGAGGTAAAAGATGAGACTCTGACAGTGTGTTCCGAAGAGCTGTTTCAGCGAGAGAGAGAGACAGAGACAGAGACAGAGACAGAGACAGAGGCAGAGAGAGGGGCAGCTAATTTGAATCAAAGAGGGAGGACTTTCAAAAAACCCCCAGCACTTGGAGTATTTCCTTAGGTCTTTTAGACTAGCAAGTATGCTAGGGAGAAATGGCCTTGGGCTTCCCTGCCATGTGCTCTTTGTTGCCTGGTTGTTTGGAAGCAGGACACAGGAGCGGCTCTGGTGCAGGTGGACTCGTGTGGAGCACGCTGACAGCTAGTGATCGTTTGTTTTCCTTTTGTCGATGGCCCGTGGGCGGCCTGGCCACAGCTGGGCGGTCCTTTGTAGGCTTTGCCTGCTTGGGGTTTCGGCTTGGCATTTTGGGGTTATTTTGTTGATAACAATAATAGCTTCTGTTTGTCGAATGCGCATTACGTGCTCGGCACTGTAGTATTTGCCTACTTGCTCCTTAACTGTCTCACCTGTCCTGGAGTTGGGAGGACTAATACCAGTTGCACCTGTTTCACGGAAGGGGAAATTGATGTCCAGAGATGTTTATTTGTCCCAATATGATATCACAGGGGATGATTAAGAAGTTGAATTAAATCAAATCTGACGTCCATTTTGCTAGCTAAAAACGCCAGAAACTTACCATTGCGCTTGCAGACGCACCTGTGTTCACCCTCGCCCCCCCAGTCCCTCCCATCTCTGGTGGTCGTTTCACACTGCTCTTCTTCACAGTCTTTCCCCTTTGGGCGTTGTGCCCGGCCTGGCCTGCAGTCCCTCTGTTGTGTAACTGTTGTCTCAGCCTGGCACAGAACTGCCCGGGGTAGAGACCATCTCCTGCACGAGCTTGTTATTCATGGCAGAGCCTCCACGAGAGGCTCTTTCTGAGGCTGCCCTTCTTAGTGGCCTGTGACGGTTTGTTTCCATGACTCTGTTAGCTTCTAAATAATCCGCTGGGCCCCAGGAGGTTGATGGGACTTGGCATGCCCCAAAGTTTGTAGATAGGCTAAGAACAACTTACAAAGAACTTGAAAAAGACCACTTTTCAAAGCAAACATGTGCCTGTAAAATACGCTGTCACCATTAATGAGAGTCATTTGTGTACCAGTGCGACTGATGTTTCTAGCAGCCATTCTTGGGGAAAAATTGTGCCCTGGTGGTCTCTCCCTCAGGGCCACTCATCAAATTAGAATGTTACTCGGCATCCTCAAGACATTATTCTTGATCTTTAAAAAAGTTGAGCAGGCACTCCCTCCCCCTCACTTCCCTGCATCGACCCCATGTTCCTTTTTGGGGTTGTCGCTGCCTTCTTGATGTTACACTGAGTCTGTCTTTGGGTGAAAATCTGAGTGATTTTTAAGTCCTTTTTCTGAGACATAGTCCGAGAAGGATAATCTGTTTTATTTTTCCCTACATGAAATATCATGTACCTGTTCTCATTGAAAGCCATTTGCTGACAATTTCACAGTGTGCTTGGCTTTTCCAGATTGTTTTTAAATCGCATCCCTAGCACTGATCCTTGGTGCATACTCCAGGGGCAAAACCTCTCAGGCCAAAGAAATACTTCCCGTTTTAAAACAAGCTCTCTTATCCATGACGAAGCATTCCCCCATCCCTTGGTGGCTCCGAAGCCAAGTTTCCAATGCAAGGCCTTTAAAACAGATGGAAACTCTGAATACATTTTGTTCCCTGGTTCCCATGGCCATTCACCCTCTCTGGTAACCTCTGTGCTGGGTCAGCAGCCTTGCTGCCTCTTAACAGAAACCGGGGTGTCTTCCTCTGACAGGGTGGCCCCGCCACTCGTGTGCACCACCTCTCACCAGCCTTTACTTCTGTCCCCTCTGGAACCTGTGCCGATGGGAGTCTTCCTGTCGACTGTTGTTGGCCTTCTGCCTCCCCTTCTGTGATTAGGTCCAAGGCGAGACGTGTTGTTGCTGCAGTGTCTCAGTGGCTGGGTGCCTCTCTCTTAGCCCTGGGACGTCCCCCTTTGCTCCCCTTTTTGCTCCTCCACCATTTGTGGGTTGAGAAAGCCTGTCTTTGGTTGTTGCGTCTCTTAGATTCTTTGTTCTGCTGGGGTTTATTTACGACCTACTCGTTCTCTCAGAGTGGAATTCCTCAAATGTCGATCTGACACCCCTGCCTCCCTAGGCCCCCAACAAAGAGAAGGTGGAGTTCTAGCTAACGTGAAGATGGGACTTGCAGGCAGCTGTCCTTTGGACGTGGTCAAGAGTGCATCTCGACAGCCTCAGGGTGACTTGCTTTATGGGCGAGAGGACTTCAGTGTGGCCATGGTCTTTTCTCTCTCGAAAACCTCTCAGCAGTAATTCCCTTTGGAGGGTTCCCCTTTGCAGATGTTCTTTGCTATTAGGGGGACATCCAAGCCTTGGCCAAAGAAGATGTGGGTGGTTTGCGCAGTGGCTTTCTCGGGGGGAACTCAGGCCTGCCTCTCGAGTTGAGGTGGCTGCTTGCCGCATTTTGTGCTGCTGGTGGTACGAGGGTTCTAGGTCTGGGGGTGGGGGCGGTGACTTTGATTTGGGCTCCTTCCTGCCTTGCAGACAGAGCGGGAAGGAAAGAAGCAGCAGTTTGCACTAATGTGAACCTTAACATGGCACATGTGTATTCAGTTGAATTATATGGAATTGCAGTTTTGGTTGGTCGGAAATGGTCCAATATCTGCAATTTCTTATGGTTCACACTAATAGTTTAAAGTCACAGCAGTCCCAAGCTGTTTTTTAGTCTAAGTACTGCTCTTTGTTTGACAAATTCGGGCGGGTTAGAGGGGAGCAATCAGGATGGCAAGGACTCTCAGCAGGAGGGTGACATGGGGGGTGAAGGGACCCGGGGTGTATTTCAGCCAAGAGGAGAAGCTTCTTCGCCTCTCCCCAAGACTGCTGTGTGTCAGCAGGCTTAGGCTTGTTTTGTGTTCTCCCCTCAGGGGGTGGGACCAGGGATGATCATAAGGAATTGGGGGGGGCACTTTTTCCCTCATTGTTTAAAGATGGAACACTCCTTGGAGAGGCATGGGGAAGAGGCCGAAGGGTCAGTGCTGGGAGGAGGCCCTGCCTCAGGTGTATTTGTGTGGATTCAGGGGCATGGGCGGCGGGGGCGGGGGGGGGGGCCCTGCTCGGGATGACTTAATGACTGTTAGGAACTGTACTCCAAGGGAAACCCAATTTAGGGTGGTATTTTTGTTTGGTTTTAAAAAGGGAAACACAAAATGTTTCCTGTCATGTTTAAACACTATTCAAGCATCTAGTTCTTAGGTAAACCTAAGGGTACCTAGCTGTAGGGTTAAGTACGTGAATAAGTTGAGAAGCAGTGGGCAGGGTGGAGCCTCATGGGTGAGGGTGAGGGCCATGAAGGTGGAGGTACGGTGCGCAGGAGGTGCAGTCGGAGCCTTGGCCATGCTGCCCTGGGGAAGAAACACCGCCGCCTCTCTTTTCGGCCTATACTACCATCACACCCGGGCCCGGGGCAGAGTTTTCTTAAGGCTTTATTTCCACAGCCCGAAAGCTTGGTTGGTGTGCAAAGGAACAACGGGTCTCAGTTTACGCTGGGAGTTAGTTACGTAGCTGTAACCCTGAAAATCCTTGACGTTCAGAAGGTGCGTATTTGTGGTGCTTTTGTTAGCTGCGAGAGGAGGGGAGGCAGTATTCTCTCCACATGACCAAAAGTACCTCCTGGTTCTGTCTGGTCCGTGGGCTCGTGTGGCTGGCAGTGCGGGGTGGTCTTGTTCTGCCAGGGGAAGCTGGCTCGCCCTCCTTGGCGCCCACCCCCATGGCCTGGGCGGGGCTGCCGGCTCGGTGTTTATTGCATCAAGGCACTGCTTCCTGCGCAGGGTGGTGAGTGGAGGGACGGGTGATTTGGGGGTAGGTGAAAGCCGGCCTTTGTCACTGGCTCTGTCCCTGAAAGGTCCTTCCTGGAGTCGCCCCTTCCTTTCGTCCTCTTGCTCCCCGGAATGTGACCCACACCTTTGTCCAGACTGCTGTCCACCCCTGGGGGCTGTCACTGGCTCTCTTCCGAGCTTCATCGCTTGGAAGTCAGTGAAGGATCTGAGGCATCAAACTTGCTACTTCCCAGCACCTTCTTAGGTGTTCAGCCTTGCTGTTTGCACCTCCACAGGTGTTGCTTGTCCATAGTCACCTTTAAATAATCCAGGGAACATTCCCAGGGGCCATATGAGGAACTCAAGCACCCGAGACTCTGGTCCTGCTCTCGTTGGCTCTGTGTTCTGTTGTGTTTACCTCAGTCATTCATTGTGGCCACCTGGTCTGTACCTGGCGCCGTGCTGGATACCAGCCACAGCCCCTCCCGGTGAGGAAGTTCCCAGTCCGTGAGGAGACTTGTAGATCCTCAGTTGATCTGCCATGGGCATGAGGTGCCCTGGAGGGGAATGCAGGAAGGGAGGGAAGTGCGTTCCTTCTGTTGGGCAGTGCAGAGGGCAGGCCTCCCAGAAGGGGACTTGTGTGAGTCTGGAGACTGTATAAGAGTGTGCGAGGCATGCGTGGCCAGGGATGCCGTGGGCAGTCCAGGTAGGGACCTGAGGCCCCGGGGGTTCCCCGTGGGTCCAGGTGAGAAATGGGAATGGCAGGAGGCAGTGAGGTCATGAGAGCCCTGGAGTGGATGCTGGGGGGTTCAGGTTCTCCCATGAAGCCAGGAGAGAGCCCCAGGAGGTTTGGCACCTTACTTAAGGGGAGCTGTGTGCTTAGGTCCGGGTTCTAGGAAGATGCTTGGGGAACGCCGCGGGAGGAGGGTTGCCTTTAGCCACTTCTTGTCTCCTAACAGAGGAAACTCCTGAGATGGCAGCAGGAGGGGGCTGGTATTTCGCGACTGGTGGCATTGCAGGTGCGCTGCAGGCAGGGGCAGGGGTCGGGGTCTCCCTCGCTCTGCCTGGGTGAGGGCGGAGAACGTTATAGACACAGAGTGAGCTCTCCCGGCCCAGCGGTTCTCACTCTCTTTTGTGCACCTTTGTGAAGAGGGGTCCACAGGGCAAGGAGGTGGCTGAATTGCAGACTTTTTTGTCCTTCACCTTTGCATCCTCATCACTCAGCGTGAAGAAGTTATGTTGAAAAGGAAGTTTCAGGCCTTAGAAAATCACACGCTCTTTGTTATATATCATTATTACAAGCATTGAATGATGCTTTATAGTTTACAGGGTTTTGTATGCATTCTAACTTTGCCCTTAAACTAGTGAATTCGATGGGAGCATTAGTTTCCATTTTAAAGATAAGGACCTGGGACTCAGAAGGGCTGGCTGAGGCCCAGAGTCAGCAAGTGTCAGGGCACGTGTGTCTTCTGAATCCAGGCCCTGTGCCTTTATTCCAGACTGTACTTGGGACCTTCTGGGGCGTGGAGTGCTGACCACACCCTGTTCTTTGAAGAGAGGTGAATCCTACCTGTCAGCCCATGGAGATTTCATTCTGTGACAGGGCCATGTGTAGAAAGCAGGCAGGTTTGCAGTTGTAGAGGCTTAGTCTGGGACACCAGTTCTGCCCCAGAAATATGACCCACATTGGGCAAGTGACTGGGCCGCCCTGCGTGTGTTTCCTTGGGTGTAAAATTGGTGGTGTCACTACCTCTGGGTCAAGAGGGATCACATCAGGTGCTCCGTCCATGTTCACACACTCTGGCCCGAGAGTGCCTGTGGGTATAGGTTTGGGTGGAGACAGGGCCTGCTGTCTCGGCTTGTTACTGGGAAACAGCCTGTGGGTTGCTGTGTTTCACACTTGTTTTTGTTGTTGTTGTTGTTTTAAGATTGATTTATTTTAGAGAAAGAGTGTGCATGCGAGTTTGCACACGTGTGGTGGGGGGAGGAACAGAGGGAGAGGGAGAAAGAGAATCTCAAGCAGACTCCCTGCCGAACGCGGAGCCTGATGTGGGGCTTGAGCTCATGACCCTGAGGTCGTGACCTGAGCTGAAAACAAGAGTCCAGTGCTTAAACTGACTGCACCACCCACGTGCCCCTCAGCAGTTGGTTTTGCTCACGGTGGCTTGCCTGGATGAGCTGTTGCCGGTAGTGGTAACTACAGCACCTTCTTCCTGTGGGAAACCGTTGGCGGTATTCTGTTTCAGGACACAGGTTGAACATCACTGCGGAGAATGACTGCCGGCGATTGCACTGCTCCCTGAGAGACCTGAGCTCCCTCCTGCAGGCCGTGGGCCGGCTGGCCGAGTACTTCATCGGGGACGTGTTTGCGGCGCGGTTCAGTGATGCCCTCACAGTCGTGGAGAGGTAGGCAGCATTCCCGCCGTGGCACCCTTCCTCCCTCAGAGCCCAGTCGTTCCTTCTTGTGCGAGGGCGGCATGTTGCCAGGCTCAAGGTGCAAATGGAGCAGCCACGTAATCTCTGAGAACTTCAGGTCTGTTGTCTGTAACATGGGGGGGACCTCGTGTCTTGTAGCTTTTTGTGAGAATTAATGAGAGGAAGCACTTAGCACAGTGCCTGGCACGTAGCAGACAACACAGGTGAGCTGTTACTTTGTCGAAGATTGGGTCTGTAGACAAAAAGACAGAACTTGCCTCAGAAGAAACCAGGTGAGGTCAGTCGTATGTCTGTTCCCACAGGGTAAAGAGACAGTCGGAAAGGCCTGGTAGTCGAAGGACAGACAAAGTCAGTCGGCCTCTTCCAAGTAGGCAGACAGATGCCAGAGGTGGGACTTTTTCCAGTACTGTTAAGGTCCTGAGGAGTTAACGCTGACCCAAGAAGTGGTTCCCATCCTCTCCACCAGCAGCCTCATTCCTTACCCCTCCCCTTGGGGCCCTCCTCGGGTTTATAGCTGTATTTGTTGCGGACCACTTCCCACTACCCAGGCCTCCCTGCTCCCTTCTCAGGAACTCATATGCTTAAAAAGTCAGATGCTCGGCAGATGAATGGATAAAGAAGATGTCACACACACACACACACACACACACACACACACACACACACAGGAATATTAGCCATCAAAAAGAATGAAATCTTGCCATTTGCAACGATGTGGATAGAACTAGAGAGTATTATGCTGGGTGAAATAAGTCAGAGAAAGACAATGTACGATCTCACTCATGTGGAATTTAAGAAACAAAACTGATGAACAGAAATGAAGGGAAGGAAAAATAAGATGAAAACAGGGAGGCAAACCATAAGAGACTCTTTTTTTTTTTTTTTTAAAGATTTTATTTACTTATTTGACAGAGAGAGACACAGCAAGAGAGGGAACACAAGCAGGGAGAGTGGGAGAGGGAGAAGCAGGCCTCCCGCCGAGCAGGGAGCCCGACGCGGGGCTCGATCCCAGGACCCAGGGATCATGACCTGAGCTGAAGGCAGACGCTTAACGACTGAGCCACCCAGGCGCCCCCATAAGAGACTCTTAACTCTAGGAAACAAACTAAGGGTTGCTGGAGGGAAGGTGGGTAGAAGGATTGGGTAACTGGCTGATGGACATTAAGGAGGGCACTTGATGTAATGAGCACTGGGTGTTACATGCAACTGGTAAATCTACCCCTGAAACTAATGATATACTGTGTGTTAACTAAACTGAATTTAAATAAGAAATTAAAAAAAAAAAGTCAGATGCTTCCAATATGATAGGAGGTTCAGATTGTTTCAAGGTAACTGGTGGATTGATTAGAGCAAAACTGGGTGGATGTGGGTCCAGCCCGAAGTTGGGACACCGGACTCTTCCATTGGCCCAGTAGCCAAATCGTTGGTAACACACTGAGCGAAACCAAGCCCCAAGCCTAGTGACTTGCACACCAGAGTTTTTTTTAACTGTTACTCTTAGCTTAAAAGCAGAGATAACTAAGAGTTTTCAAGTACATTTTTAAAAGCCAGATTAATAATAATAATAAAAGCATGTGGTAGTAGGAAATTTTCAAAAGTGGTTTTGCACATTTTATTTCATGCTTTACTTTGAGGGACGGGATGGTCATGTTATCTGTGAGCAAACTGTGGGCCAGAGATGGTGAGTGCCTTGCTTCAGGTCACACTGTTCACCAGAGGGAACACGTGGATTGTAAGCAGTTTCCTGAGTGCACCTGCTGTGCTCTTTCCGGACCGCAGAGCTTCTGCCTCCAGCGTCCTTTTTCCTCTCCTTCCTGGCGGGGCCTCTTGCCGCTGGTGGTTTCTTCCTGTCTGAAATCCATATTTTTTCAGACTTCAGAGTCCCTGCATCGGTATTTTGTAGGTCCTTAATGTGTACATCTTCCTGCACTGCTTGGGTTTGCAGGCCCAGTACTTAAAGATACTTTGCTATTTTGTCTTCCTTTAGAATAAAGTGTGAGAGAAGGCTCCTTGTTACGGCTACGTGATCTTCATAGCCAGTGTGATGAGCTGGCTTTTCACTTACAGGTTACACACAACAAACCTACTAGTGAAACTGCTAAGTGTAGAAATGGTAAAAGACATGTTCAGCAGGCCATTTCTAGTGTGGAACAGCACTAAAGGCTGCTGTAGACGTGAAGTCGAACACGGTGTGATTCCACTCACAGCGGGTGCAGAGACTCGTCAGAGCCTGAGAGAAAGGGCAGCGGCGGGGCCAGGCTTGGGGCTGGGGGGATGGAGCTGCTCCTCAGCAGGTACAGACACTGGGTTTTATAGGATGAAAAGGTAGAGCGCCGCTGAAGTGTACTCTGGGCACACAACAGAGAGCGGTTTAGAGAATTACACGCTGGGTGCACGTGCGTGCACCGCTTATGTCATCACGCCGGCCCCTTCCAGAACTTCCCGCTTGAGAGCCCTTGGCTCTTTGACCCTCATTTTCTGACTGCTCCCTAACCCTGCGTGCTTTGGGACTCAAACTTGGGGTTTTCTAGGGAAGTCCTGCTTTCTGCTCCCTTCAGAGAGGAGCAGTTTTCAGAGTGTGGTCCAGATTTCCGGGCTCCTCCTCACGAGCACAGGGTCAGTCTGTGGGGTTGGACCAGGGAGCTGGCAGGGTAACAAGCTCCCCAGTGGGTTCTTTGGCTTGGTGAAGCTTGAGAAGCTCTGCACTGGGGCACCGCGGGAGAAGAACGCCCGCTGTCTTCCCTGGCGTCCGCCTCAGACCTCCATAGAGAGCTTCGTTACAGAGCAGGCACAGACAGCACTTCGCCGGGCTTCCAGCTTCTTCCCTTTGCCCAGAAAAGAACGTCCGTCTCTAATAACGAAAGAGGCGTTTTCCATTTCCCCATGGAGCTGGCTCTCAGTTACTGGGATTGAAGGCTCGTTTGTATGCATTGAGCCCTTGGGCAGCCAGTGGGCTCAGCAACTTTCTTCTGAAAGGATTGTGCTTGAAGTTAAAAACCCTTCAATTTGTTCTAAAAACTTTTACTTCATGCCCTGCCCCCTCCCTCAAATATTTTAACAGGAACATTTTTTAATCTTCAGAAAAGTTGGAAAAATTGTATAGCGAACACCCATATATACCCATCACTTAGATTCTGCAGTGACCACTTTCTATATTTTTTTTATCATATAGCTAGCCATCTGAAACATTTACTTTTTCTCGAATTTTTCATCGTGGTAAAATATACACCATAAAATACTTCCATCTTAACTACTTTTATGGTGTATATTATACTCTGTTTACCTGTTAGATATTTATTTTGTGTTCAAAATTTTTTGGCTCTGTAAGTCATGCTTTAGTTAGTATCTTTGTATAAATCTTTATGCACATCTCAGATTCGATCTTTGGGATAAAGTTGAAGGTCTGGTCTTGATTCTTGTTTAGATGGAAACATGTTTGTCCTCGGGACCTTTGTTGGTACTTTGTCTGTTTTGTCTGTTTTAGTCCATAAGCTGAGTGTTTCCTTTTACCGGTTTCTTTGCCAACAGGTTGGTCAAAGTCACTCTGTATGGATCTCAGATAAAATTGTACAACATTGAAACTGCTGTACCGTCAGTACTGAAACCTGATCTCATCGATGTGTAAGTACGGAGTGGACTGTGGTGCATTCTCGGGAAAGGCTGAGTCCTCCAGTTTATAAATCAGTTTATAGATAAAGAGGAGCAGTGGTGGTTGCCACGAAGAGGAGAATGACTCCCTGCTCCAAACCTGGAAGAGAGGATTGCCTGGGGGCCGAGGGGGTTGGAGTAAGTGGAACGCATCAGGCGGGTGAGAGCTGGGAGCAGAGGGTGTATGGAGTGGGCATTTCAGGAGGGAAGAGCCGGAGGAACTGAGACACAGATGTGTCGCACGGCGCTGAAGTCAGGGAGGTGGTGAGCGGTTTGTGCGGTGGGAGAGGGGGCCAGAGAGGCATGGGAGGACTACGGTGGGAACAACTTGAGTGCCCCAAGCCTTATCCTGTAGGCCAGTGACTGAAGCTGTGGCATATGGAGAATGCCTCGGAGATTCTGACTACAGCAGGATGGCCTGAGGCTCCTCGGGTGTTTGCGTGTTACCCAGGAACTGGGGTGATTTTGAAGGACATTCAGGGACCACACTTGGAGAAGCTTTTTGGACAGTGGAGAGCCATTAGGAAAGTGACTGTGGAAGGGCTAAAGGAATGGGGACTGGAGATGGGGCCATGTCCCAGAGATCACACTATCCAGAAGGCTTGCTCTAGACCAGAGCAGGAGTGGGCAGACTAGGGCCTGTCCCACGTCCGGCCCACTGCCAGCTTTAGTAAATTCAGATTTATTGGAACACAGCCCTGCCCATTCATTTACGTATCATCCGTGACTGCTTTCGTGCCAGTGGCAGCAGTGGGTATCTGTGACGGAGAGAGTTATGTATGACCTGCAAAGCCTGAAGTATTTACACCCTGGCGTTTGCAGAAAAAGTCTGCTGACCCCTGTTCTAGCTAGTTCTTGAGCTGCAAATTAGGTAAATGATAGTCTTATTTACTATAGCCGTTTAGGGTGTTTTTTTTTTTTTTTTAAAGAGTTGTGTGTGTATGCGTGTGTATATATAGCTTTCCTTTTTGAGAATTTAGAGCTGTGAAGCTTCTGCTGAGAAGAATGCTAATTTGCTCATAAACACAACATCTTGCACACAATTTCAGGAAGTTTCAGAGCTCTTTCTCTTCAGCCTTACGGAGCTCTGTAAATTCGATAGAGCGACTGAAATTCCTAGACCCCAAAGGCACACTTTGATGTCCTTTTTCTTAATTTTGGTACTCAAAGCTTGAAGGGTGAAACGATCAGTGTATTCTAAATATAAAATACAAAATAATTGCTTGGTCACTATGAATTACCAGTATTTTCTTACTTTAAGGTACTTAATACCTTAGCTTACCTACCTTCTTATCTTGAAAAAGTTACCACCTGTAGAAAAGGGGAAAAAATAGAATGAACACCCTTACACTCTCAAACTAGCTTCATCAATTATAAATATTTTCCCCGTTGGCTTTTGTTTCTTTTGCTTTCTTTTTGTATACACATGTGAACCCACACTTTTTAAAATTTTTTTTAGGTTAACTGTTTGAAAGTAAATTGCAGACAACATGTCACTTCACCTATAAACCCTTCAGCATGTTTCTCTAGGAACAAGGTCATCCTCCTACATAACCACAATACCATTATCACCACTCATAGACTTTCATGGATACAGTAATATCTAGCAATTTTAAAAAGATTTTATTTATTTATTTGAGCTAGAGAGCAAGCACACATGAGTGGAGGGAGATGGGGAGAATCTCAAGCAGACTCTGTACTGTGCCGGGCTGGATCTCATGACCCTGAGACCATGACCTGAGCCGAAACCAGGAGTTGGGATGCTCAACCGACTGAGCCACCCAGGTGCCCCAATATGTAGCATTTTTAAGGGTAAGGGTGTGTGTGTGTTTGTGTGTGTGTGTATAAAATATTTTCCATACTCAGATTTTCCCAGTCATCTCAGAAATGTCCTTTATATCTTTTTTTTTTTTTAATCCAAGGCCTAACTAATCATGAATCACATATTACATTTACCTTCTGTAATCTAGACCAGCTCCCCAGATTGTGCATGTTGGTGGGGGGTAGGGGAGAGAGGAAGAGAGAAAAAGAGAAACTGAATTTTTGGAGATTTAGACCTTATTTTTTTTTTAAGGAAAATCTTAATCTGGATTTGTCTAGTTTTTGTACTATGTGAGATTGATGTTTAACATTTTTAGTAAGAACAGTAGATAGGTGGCAGTGTGTTGTTCTTGCATCATATCTGGAGGCACTTTGAGGTCAATTTGCCCTCCTCTGAGTTGATGCTGTTTGATTTCCACGTGGGGTCAGCCTGAATCCTAGCTCTGCCCCCTAAAAGGTCCTAGGAGCAGTGAGACCCCAGAAAGAATGCTCCCCTGAGGACCCAGGCTCTTGGTTTCTAAAGTGCATTCTCCATCAGAAGGAGCCACAGCTCCTTAGCGGGCTGTCTCCTGTGTTAGAGGCAGCGGTGGTAAGGTTTAGATGATGCGTTTTCATTTTCAGGTCCTACCTGAGCAAGTCAATGATTTCTGCACCATCACATGTGTCTTAGAACAGTAAATGCACTGGGTGGAATTCTTCCTTCAATGCTAATATATTTTGACCTTGACCTTTAAAGTCGCATCTTCTCTCCCCTTCGCAGGCACGCTCAGTCCCTGGCTGCTCTGCAGGCTTACTCTCACTGGCTAGCGCAGTATTGCGGTGAAGCTCATCGTCAGAACACACAGCAGTTTGTTACGCTCATCTCCACCACCATGGATGCAGTCACACCTCTGATCAGCACCAAGGTCCGGGAACAGCAGGCGTTGTACTTTGTAGCTGACTCTTTGTCCTTCCTGTACCCACTTCCTATAGCATCAAAATCTTGCTCGGTATTAGACCCTTCATTCTCAACCGCTGCGAGAGAACTATGTGTCATTCCATGTTCCTTTTGAACTCTGGGCCACATAAATTCAAATACACCTTTATTTTTTTAGCCAAGTCCCACATGAATATATGCTCATTGTGAAAATGTAAAATACCATTCAAATTTATAGACCAAAAAGTTGTGATACTCTTTGTTCCCCTTCTCCAAAACACTGCTATTCTACGGTGGGGATGTTTTATAATTTTCCTCTTGATGGAAGTCAGTTCTTGGTGTGTATATCCCTGTAGGATGGATTCCGGGAAGTGGATTTGCTGGGCCAAAGGTGTATCCAAGTAAATTTGTAGGTTCTACTCAGTTGTCCTTTGAGAAGACCACCAATTTATATTATATGGCATATAGATGTTTATTTGTCTTTTTGTAGTTTTAATCGCACGTAGCATTCTGTCCATTTTTGTTGAGTTTGTTATAAATGAGTTACAATGTCCCATGAGGGGCATTTATATAATTTATAATTTACCTAGCCATTGCTGGACTTTAAAGTTGCTTCCGTTTGAAAAAAAGTTATCCTAGATAATTCTGAAACACATGTACTCCCGAACTTAGCTTTATCCTTTTGGGTGATTTTCTTAGAGTAAGTCATCGGATTAAAGGTTAGGGATGGTTTGTGGTTCGAGGAAATTCTAATAATCTTCCTTTCCAGAATAATTCTGCTTGCCCATGACTCTTTGGTGTGCTTTTTTTCACCAGTCTTACCAGCATTAGGGCCTATCCATAAAGAGTTTTCTCTTTTGCTAATTTGAAAAGGACGGATGGTCCTCGAACCAGGGTTTTGATTGGCACACCGAGGGAAGGAAGCAGGAGAGCCTGGCGTGACTGGTGGGGTGCAGGCAGGTGGGTGGAGAGAAAGATTGGCTTGGTTGGAACAAAGAGGAGTGAGATGAACAATCCCGAGTAGTTTGAATGGTATGCCGAGGAATTTGCAGAGGGATCGTAGAGCTGAGGAGTGACGGAGCCCAGACGTGTCGGTGACTAGGGACGAGAGGAGCCAGAGGGTGGCGCTTCCGGCTTGAGGTCGGGAGCCTCGACGAGGCACGGAGTGTGGTGCCTCATTGCTGGGCATCGTCCCCGGAAGCTTCTTTGGTACAGAGCCTAGGTGGTATAATGGCTCCTGGCACCATATTTGGCTTGTGGCTGCCTCATTAAAGTTCTTCTAATGGCAGCCTTACCTGGTACGAGAGCGAGTAAGCTGACACGTTCTCTTCTGTCTCCAGGTCCAGGACAAGTTGCTGCTGTCTGCGTGCCACTTACTGGTCTCCCTGGCCACCACCGTGCGGCCCGTCTTTCTGATCAGCATCCCCGCGGTGCAGAAAGTGTTCAACAGAATCACTGATGCCTCTGCTCAGCGACTCATCGATAAGGTGAGACCCTGGGGCCACCCTGCATCGGCCCTGGAGCCCTGTGGCTCAGACTCGGAGGCTGAGGAGGGGGAGGCTGGCCTTTCTGTTGCACTCGGAGTTTAGAGGCCACGCCAGCGGAGACGGGTTCCTCACATGTGGCCCATAGGGCAGCCTCAGTGCTCTCTCGTCAGGCCCTTCCCAGTGCGGCTGCCACGTAGGGTGCCGATTAGGTTGCAAAAACCTCCTGCTGGCGGCACGCGGGCACTGCTGCTTAGCCGGCGACCTGGCTGGTGTCGTCAGAGTCCCCTTGCGTTCTTTTTGGTTTTAAAACAGTCTATTTTTGTGGTTATATTTGTTTTTTTCGGATAGAGACACTCCATCCAGACAAGGATCTTCATAAACTTCAGGAGGCTCAGGCTGGAAGTTAAAAACAAACAAAACGGGGTGTCAGAGGGCAGTCAAACCAGTTACTGGAGAGCACCTGGGATTGAGTGAGAGAGCCGCTCTTATGGCCTCGAGCTCTCAGCCCTGTTCGGAGCAGCTCCTTGGAGGGTGTGAAGGCCAGCATCTGCGGTGTCCATGACCTCTCCCTCTGTAACGCTTCTGGTACCCGACTAGAGGGAAGGGGTGGCCCCAGGAAAGATTATTGGGGTTGGGCCTGGAGTGTGCTGGACCCAGACTTCAGTTTCTCTCCCCTCCCTGCATTACTTTAGACTTGGACCAAAGCTCCAGGCCCAGCTTGTGAGAGAGGAGCCTGGAGGCCCGAGCTGTGTGTGTGTGTG